TACCTGGATCACCCTCTCCCTAACTACAAAGGTACAAAGGTTTCGTTCTGTGGTTTGTTACAGTAGGGTATTTTTGTATTGATCGAAATGTTTGTAGGGCTTCTACAGGTTTTCAAAGCAGGTATAGAGTCGGCATAGATTTCCACACACTTTCATTTTTATACAACCAAAGTTGTGCATAAAACATTGGTATGCAGCTTTATTATGCATTTATAGATGAAGACCCTGATCTTCATTCATGTTCTTTTTATTACCAAATGCATGAGGTATAGTTGCTATAAGCATGACCAAAACAGACGTTTTTTTTCTTTATCTCTGTTTATGTTTGTCTTATCTGCAAGAGACATCAGAATATCTGTTACGTTATTTTGAAGCCAGCTAAGTGGAGCAGGTTTGCAGCGAATGCAGCTCCAGCATCAGTCTGAGACTAAAGAGAGCAGAGTTCTGGGAGTTTTTCAAAGTTAAGACTGCCTCTAATAATCAGATTGCAGACTGAAACTCTCTTAACGACCAATTTAAGCTCTATTTCTAAAACACAACTTGTTGACTGCTTTGCTATATTGGCTTCATGTGGCTGTGAGGCAAACCAACCACCTTATCAAGAGAAATTTGTCTCGGCCGTCTTGGTAATTAATCAGTTATTTCAGGAAGGTGGCTGTGGTAAACGCAGTGTGGGATGGTTTCCAGGCTGACTGCTCCTCGAGCTGTTGTCTTTAATTAACGTCAGACCATATGAAATTAAAACTGTAACTATGTGATTCTGTGGTTGTTTTTCTGTCTTTCTGTTTTAGGATCGGCCAGATAAAGATTATGTTAGGAAAAATAAATATAGGGCTCAAAGAAGCATTTTGGCCCAAACTAACAATTTTTAGCAAACAAACTAAATCCTGGAACTGCACACACTGAGTAGATGTTTGTTTCTCTCCGGCACAAGGTCTTTATGCACTCAGTTTTTAAGCAGTCTGTGTTTTTCTAACTGGAAAAAGCACTGCATATCACAAACAGGTTTCTGATCACCATAATAGCTGTATATTAAGTCTGTGTGAATATTACAGTAGCTGACTACTTAATGTTGGACAGTTTTCTGCAACACCATTGGATTTGTTTGTTTGTACAGAAGGTTCAGCTGCTTGACTTGTCTTTAAGCACACAACAAAATCTGCTTCATATTGTATAACATCATAACTTTTTTTTTTTAAATACGGACTACATTTTGTTTCCGCCCCCTCTGCACAGCAGCACCCTTTACAATAATCGGCATCCTTAATAGCAATGTGTGAAAAGCCTTCAAATTAGTTGCACTTTTATTGCAGCTGCATAAATTTGAATTGCATAAAATCATATAGAAATGTGATTGAAAATCAGAAATTTCAGTGCCTCCTGTATTTGTTCCCGAAACTGTTTCTTTTTATTCCTTTTAAATGTGACCACACGTAGGATTGCAACAAGGTCTCAGGTTGAAATTGCTGAAATGGACAGTTAGGCTTTCTACGGTCATTAGTCTAATGACTGCAGCAGACCGGTATTTAAAAGTTTTACATTGCACCTTTTTTTTTAAATAAAATTTATTCCTAGCATGTTCTTAAGTGTTCTGTTGAATTATAAACACATTCCTTTCCTATTTTTGTAATTTACACTTTTTATATATTGTAGGACCTTTTTAATAGTCATAAATGACAAAACCTTTAAATTATTATTTTTTCTTCATGGCTAGTTTTAGAACAGAAGGGATTGTTTTTTTTATATACACATATCTGTCTTCATTGGATGGAATGTTATCTTCTTTTACCCACGTGGATGGAAATAGATAGGAATATATAGGTGTGTTAAAAAAATATAATTACACAAGTTGCAATGAAACTAACCTGCACTCTGATTGGATTATACACTTTATAGCTGACATAGAATCGACCAATCAGCTCAAAGGAAGAAAAGATCCAGTTCAAATTTATACTTGCAGCTTAAAACTCATATGCAAGTAGGACAACGGAGGGTTTAAGATCTAAATGGAAAAAATCTATTTTTTACAAATACAAATCTTTTTTTATATCAACATAAATCATTTTTCTATTAGCAGAGATACAAATTCTCAGATATTTTGGTGTATAATGGGGAAACTCTGGTTAACAAGCACAAAAGATATTTTATTGTAATTTGTATCGCTACGTGGATTGTTGATTAACGGTTCCTCACAACTCTGATCAACGTAAATACTCAATATGTATTTTGAAGCAATTAAAAGGGGTACACAAAAATATGACATCACCGATTTAGTAAAAAAATTAGAAAAGGAAAATTACTTTGCTTTTTCCAATGATATACTGACCATTTAGAACATAATATGCTGCAGATAAAACAATTGTATTAATCGAATGAAATGATCATTAACTGGAATATTTAGACTTTACAACCTGTAATTTGCTGAAAAACAAACACCAACTTAGAGCAGAAATTAAGACAAACCTTTTTCACATTTACACTTTTTGATGTTGACTAGTCCTCATTTGATATCCAGAATGTAATATACATAAGGCTGTTCACCTTTGTTTGTGACCTTTTTCACTAGAGTGGTATTTATTTGATTTATGTCTCTTCAGTTAGAAAAGGCAAAACCTCTTATTTTAGCAGGTTTTGATTTACAGTTGTCTACATATAAACTGAAGGCATTTTTGTCTTCGATAAAAAGCAATAAAATATATATTTTCTTCTTTAAAGAGGAATTTAATTGATTCACTTTGCCTTTTCATTTTAATCTGTTTCTGTTGCTCATGAATTAAGTTTAAAGGAAATATCTGCAGACTGCAATTATTGGAGCTGATCATCATTATCAGTTTCAGCCGTACTTTATAATATGGCTGCATTCACCCAGTCGCTCTCTAAACAGACACACATTCACTGATATGGAAATCTTAAAGAAACAAGGGAATAAAAAAAAACATTAATTCTTAATGTTGTTGATTATATTTTTTTTTTCTCCATTTAATTTCACTCAAATTAAAAGCTTGATTTTTCTGGAATTTTAAGTGGAAGGTTTTGCTTCTGTATTAAAGGCTTTTCTTTATTTTAGGGCAAATCACTGCTGTTTACCACAGTAAATGCTTCTAACTCCAGTTTCTGTATCTAGCTTAGATGAAGTGGCCCCTTTAAATGGGAACCAATGAACAGACCTAATATTTAGAAGCGCAGCAAAAGTGACTCCTTATAAGGGCATTTTTCCTTAGCAATCAGCTTCATAAAGGATCCTGTAGTGTCTGTGTATGAGTGGGTGCTATGAGGTCAGAGCGAGGTAGACATAGTCTCCTATATACACTGCCTGTCTGTGTCAGTCGCTCCATTAAATCCGTCTGCCTGCTTCATCTAAACACTCATGTTGTGCTGCCTGGAACCAGCTGCCTTGGGAAAAATCTCACTGGAGGTGCTCATCAGTTGGTTCATTAGTGAGATTATCTGCTTGAATACATTAAACAGACTGAGATCAAGTATTTGTCGGTTCATCTTAATCACATTTATGCTTGTGACTACAATAAATGGGTAGATATTCACAAGTCATCCGCTTAGAGAGTTCTTTTCAAATGCTTTAGGGTTGCTCTGTGAGGTTTCAGGCATATCTGTAATTTTAGATGCAAAATGAGAAGAGTAATTATTGTTTTGGAAACTCCACTTGTTAGACCTTCCTTGTTCTGTAAAGGATCTCTTTGCTTGATATTGCATGACGAACCAGTGCAACAGCTCCAGATAGAAAGAAACATACATGCTTATAAGTAAAAAAATCAGAATTTTCTTTTACCGGTAATCAGGTTTACAAGCCACAACATTAAGGTTACATTTGATTGATTTAAACCTTTGAATTTCCTTCACAAAATGTAAATTAGGTGGTTTTGGTTGCACCTTCGTTTTTCAAATGCATTATAAATCAGTATAATTCTACTGTATTTTCTTCTGTTTCATGCAAATTACATAACTTGCTTTTGTGGAAACAAGAAGGTTAGGGACAAATAAAAAAAAAAACATTTTATGTAAAACAAGCAGCTTGAATGCTGAGGATGAAGCTCTACAGTAACTCTGGTCATTCATATTTAAAAGGTTTTGAGGCAAAATTCTGTAGATAATAAAGTAGGTGAACAATTTAGGTTCTAATTAACAAAACATTCTACAGCTACAATTATTCACCCAATGCTGCAAATTAGCTTTCCTCATTGAATTCAAACAAAAACAAGATTAACAGGGTGGAAAAAAAATATTGCTGCAAGTATTTAATCTAATCCAAACTCTTAATTTGGGCTTTGACTATTGCAGTATCAGATTTGATTCAACCCCCTGAATAATCTCCTTTACATGAGCACACTTTGGAAATCAAACAGAAATACGTATGATTGAGTCAAAAGGTCAAGAAAAGAGAAGTAAAGACAGTTCTTATATAATCAGAGCATTCTTTATAATTCACTGGACAACAATAAACTTAATTTGAAGTTGTGAGGAAATATGATGAAAATTCTTTAGCATTTCCTCAGCATCATCTTAGTGCCTGCCGCTGCTATAATGTAAAACACAGAGTCTGCTAGATTACATTGCCATCAGAAACATTGTGACAGCTTCCCTTTATCGTGATAAAGTGTGTTTTGGTGTGACCTAGGGTTGCAACTAACGATTATTTTGCAAATCAATTAATCTGTTGATTATTTTTTCAACTAACCGATTAATAATCTGATAGCCAAAGGTTCCTTACAGAAACATTTTTTTAATCCTAAATGCCAAATGCTTATGTATTTTTTACAATTTTGATAAAATTACTCCTTTAAATTGGTCGCTCTGACAACTAAAGGCATCTTTTAGTCTCTCTACTTACTTATTACTAAATTAGTTGATCATTGTTTCAATAATCAATTATTCCCAATTAGTCCGATTTATTGTTTCAGCTCTAGTGTGACCATCTGTGTTTACCTTCAGGTGTGAAAATCTTTTCATGGATGGATGTTCTTTCTTCGTCTTTTGCCCTTAAGCTCTAGGTTTTGGCTCGCCGATCAAAGTCAGCCGCGGTTCGCCCATCCTGCAGGAGTGTCTGAGTCGGGCGATTGCAGGAACAGCTGATAAGAACAGGGGAGGGGTCAATGGAAGAGTACATGGAAGCAGGACTCATCTGCCGCCTAAACCACAAGGTACATGTTGGCTTATTATTATAGATTAAGTCTATTATTGTGTAAATTAGAAGAAAAGCAGATGTGCTAAATGATTTAGGATTTACAGGTTCATGTATGACTGTGTGTTGTGCCATTAGTCATTGAATCAGTTAGCTGTGAGACCAGTGAACCTCTTGTTTGAGCTGAGTTAATCATTCTACAAAAATATTGATGAACAACTTCTCTCTTCTCACTGCTGTAAATCAACTACCTGTAAACTGAGGAAATGTGAAATTGTTTCTTTCCAGTTACACATCTCTAGGTTTAAGATAAGCAAATAAATGTTAAGATCAGGGAGAGATAAACTCAATGGAATAAATATTGGCCTATTGATGCAATCAACTGGTTTTCCTTAGAGAGAAAACTTTGAATCAGTTTAACTGTATGTGGTTGAATTCTATCTGTAAAGTGCTTTGAGATGACATGTGTTGTGAATTGGCACTATATAAAAAGGCTGAATTGAACTGAACCCCAAACTGACCTCAACCTGATGCCTTGTCGAGGCACACTGTAAGTGTGAGACAGGATGTTGTGTTATATCACCAGTTTTTCTGGTCTTGGAACTTGAAATCCCTCTTTACCCAATCTCTCTTTTTTGTGGTTAAATCACAAATTCTTTACTGAGGCCTGCAGAGTTTTGTTTTTTTAACTCATCCTCAGTTCATCTCTGACCTCCTGGATGAGTCATTGAGGAGCTTTTAGCATACATTTGGTCAGTCAGCCTCTCTTGGGCAGATTCTCCATTTTCCCATGTTTTCCTCAGGTGTGAACAATGGCTCTAGTTGATGGAGTCCCAAAGCCTTGGAAATCAATTTGCAAAGATGTGTGACTTGGTTTTCTTATCTGTTTTTCTTTATATAGTTGTCAGTTAAGTTCTTTTGAAGTCTTTTCTTATGTTTGTGGGTCTGGCAATAATCATGCATGGGTTCTTTAGTGAAATTGAGCTCAGGTGGCCGGTGTTAATTCCTGATTCAGGAAAAGGTAGAAGTTCTTTCTAGTCCTAGAGCCAGGTTAAGTTTTATAGATCTGTTCTTTAATAAATGCAATTATCTTTATAGGTTTACCCATATATCTTTATTTAATATTGACATCTTCTTGATTACAAACACAAAAAAGCAGAAACATTCTATGCCTTTAGGGTGTAATGCTTTTTAATGGTGGGGTAAATGTATTGCCTTTATTGAGAGTTGAAGTTTGGTAGGTTGTCATTTACAGTAGCTTTTGCTGCCCTCTTCAGCTTCAGATTGAAACTGCAGTGTGATTATTTCTAGCAGGTAAAATCATCAGGAATGCTTTGATCATTAATCAAGTTTGTTTTCTTTGTCCGATTCCACTTTAGTGCCACAAAAGCCAGCACACCTTCTGAGCCCAGTGTCGCCACGTCTGTCCCCTTTGTGCAACGTCCAGAAATCCCCAACTAGACTCATCATGGAGGAGAGGGGAGGAAAATCAGGGGCTGCAACCCGCGACAAGCTCAAACCATCCAAAGTGTCGGACCTGATCAGCCGCTTTGAGGAGAACAGGTACTAGCTTTCTGCTCTCAATGATGTGTAATTGAAGGTTCATGCTATACTGCAGAGGGGTCTGCAACCTGCAGACCTGTAAGTGGCTCTTAGGACCTTAACGGCTCGTAATAATTTTAAGTAGATCTGATGTTTTTAAAAAGTCCTATAGTGTTTTTTGTAATAAGGCTGAGAACTCTATTTTATTTAGACAGTGTAACATTATTTGTTCTATTTAGCTGGATAGAGGGTCAAATTAGCTTTGTAATTTAAAGGTTGCAGATCTGACAAAAATAGAGCTTATAATAACTAAATGGTTAACTGGCTAACTGTTTTGTAACAAAACACCCTCAAGATCACTGTCAAGTAACTGAAGGTTTTATTACCTAACATTTGAGTTTAAGGAGGTTTATTTAAAGAATACCAAAAGCAGAAGTAGTCAGCTTGAAGTCCTCAGGTCTGTCTAAATGAGGGTAACTCAGACAGAGTCGGAGCAGAAGTGAGTGGAGATTAGTCTGTGTCTGACAAGCCAAGCGTTAGTGAGGGGATGAGAGGAGATTTGTACAGGCGAGGGGAAACACTGCTGCTCATTCAGCCAGGGGACAGCGAGTCTTACTGTTGCCAGATAAAACCCAGGACAGGAAGGTAGGAGCTCTACGTCTATCTATACTCTCTTAAACAAGCTGGGTTTATGCTGTCTTCCAACACTGCATGGCTGAAGTTCATTTCTGGATTTTATGCTTAAAATGTAGACTAAAAAATATTTTTTAAGGCCTAAAATCTGATTATTTCATAGGAATTATGTGTTGTTGGAGATCTTTGTAAGCAAACACTTGTTAAAAAAAACATTAGAATGTTGCAGAAAGGCGACATACTTTGACCAAAGCTTTACTTAAGCTTTTATTGTGGATGAAAAATTATAAGTAAGCCTGATTTTCACAATCTTTACTTAAATTAAAATTGGATAAAAGCTTTTATTGCTTTATTGTGTTTTTCTGGCATAAAAAAGGTCTGGCCTTTTTTTTCCCATGAGCATTCAGTGTTAGGTAGGTTTATGTTGAAACGCTTAACTACCTCTTTTCTGAGAAGGTAGTTAAGGCACACATCCGCTCTGCCTTGTTGTCTGCACTAGATCCCATAAACCAAACCAAACTTTCTCCCAGAAAGGTCATTCACTGTTTAATTTAATTCAGTCCAGTTTATTTATATAAAGCAAATTTACAACACATGTAATCTCAAGGCACTTTCACGAGACAATCCAAACACATCATACAGTCAGATTGATTCAAAGTTTTCTATCTAAGGAAAAGAGCTGATTGCATCAATTCATTGCCTCTTCAGCAATCCCTCACACCAAGCATGCTTGTAGCGACAGTGGAGAGGAAAAACTCCCTTTTAACTGTAAGAAACCTCCAGCAGAACCAGACTCAGTGTGAGTGGCCATCTGCAGAAGCCGACTGGGGTTCAAGAAGAAAGAATCTGACATACAGAAAGAAGCAGGGAAACAAAAAGCAACTGTTAACCAGCTCCTCAGGCGGCCCCTTCTAGGAAACACACAGCCAGGCAGACAAGCTCCGAGCCAGCTCCCATGGTAGAGGATGAAATGGAGCAAATATAGTTAGTCACAGTCAAAGAAACAGGAGAATTACCATTTAGCAGAGTAGAGTTAGATCAAGGTTTCAGGACTGCTAAGAAATGTTCATCCAAATGTCCATATTTTGAGTGTTTGCCACAAAATTGCTTGGTTGAGCATATCCCAGTCACAAAAAGCTCAGAATAATTCCTTTTTTAGACAAATATATATATGTCAATCAGTACTGCTAAGCTGTTTAAAACTAAAGTGGGGAAGCAGCAGCAAACTGACATCAGGATCAACTAGAGTTGATAGCCTGACTATTTATCCAGGTTTTATGTTCTTATTAAACACTGTGTTTTCTGTAAAGGGCAGTATGATATTATTAAACTGTATATTGTGTGCTATAAGCACTTCCTGACTGCTGTGATTTAACTATGTTCTTACCTCATTACCTATATTTATAATATGAGCCCTTTTTAGGATATTCCAAGTTTGTTACAGACACCATAAAGAGAGTCTTTCTTGTTAAAAGGTGTTTGAAATAAGTTTCTTCTCTCTGTTTTTGAGAGCATCTTCCCACACTGTGAGTTCCCACAATGTTGTTTTTAAGTTGAGCTATAAATAAAGTTGGACTGGATTCTTTTGGACTGTTTCCCAAAACACTAGTCCATTTGAGGCAAAGATAACAAAGACCATAAATAAGTCATCGTCCTGGCCACTCCCGAAGTTCACCTGTACAGCAATTTTAATGCTTTTTTTTTTTAACCAGAAATGAACTCCGATGTCAGACTGATATCACAGACAACCAACGTTTGGTATTCATTAGCTGTTCATATTGACCTCACCACCAACAACTACCTAGATATGAACTGGTGGGGAAATTCTTGATGGTTGCATGTTATAAAATGTTATAGCCACAATGTTGCATGGAAACTAGAAATGCACAATATTTTCACAATATCAGCCAATGTTGGTCATTTTTTTGAATATCAGAATCAGTTCTAGTAAGTAAAACTTGGACTGACATTAACAACTAGGGTTGCAACTAACAATTATTTTGCAAATCGATTAACCTGTCCATTATTTTTTTGATTAATCCATTAATAATCGGATAGCCAAAGATTCTTTAAAGAAGACTTTTTACTAAATTAAACCAGGTGATAACTCAAACTTTTCCACTTGAGGAGTTCTGCATTTTTAAAGAGATGCAAAATGCTCACATTTTTTTCAATCTTGGTATAATTGCTGCTCTAAGTGGGTTGCTCTGTCAGTTAAAGGCATGTTTTAGTTTCTATACTCCAGTTGACAATTGATTACTCAATTAGTTGAGGATTATTTCAATATTTGATTAATCCAATGAATTGTTTCAGCTCATTAACAACCAATATTTATTCCCATATAGATGCTTTATTTGTTTCAAGAGAGGAAAGGGGGTCAGTTATTTGCTATCTGCATGTTTGCATGACACCTATGATTCTGGGTGTTGAACAGAACCATGGAAATAATATCAGCACTGTGGTGGGTCTTTCATGGTGTCCAAAGGGCAGGGTAAGGTAGGCAAATATATATCCTATGAAATCGAACATCAGTTATTGGCCGTAACAACAATATTATAATTGGATGTCAGTATTAGCCCAAATATTCATATTGGTGCACCCCTGATGAAAAAGAAAAGAGGCTGTGTCTGCCATGAAAGCAAGCCCTTGGACACAGCGTCCTCTCCTTCGTCAAGCTGCAGCAACCACTCCACCTGGCTGACAAATAAAGTAACTACTGAAACAATAAAAACATGCATGGATTTGTAATAGTTTAAATATTTCTAGGGCAGAATGAGGATTCTATTTCCTACCAAATCTTAACTGAATGACACTCTGACCATAGCGGATGGTAAGCTTTTTATTTGATAGTTAATCTGCTGCCATAGACAGACTGCATGGTGCTTATAGCTTGTCTGCTCTAGTTTTAAAGCAGTGCTACAAAGAAAGGTCAACGCCTCTGTAGTTTCCACACCTTGAATATCTGTTGTTTTATTTTTGATTTGAAAGTGAAACACTAGTATCACGATGCAACAGGCAGGGGAGGGGCGGTGCTGGTTTACACTGTGACTCCAAACGACCATTAAAAAAAAATACATTGTGAATAATTTAACCTGAAGAACTGGTGTGCAGGAAAAATTTTTAAATGTTCTGAACCCATAACGGTTTAAAACATTAGTTATCTTGGTACCAGTAAGGAGCCCATACCACCATTAGCAGTTCAAGACTATGCACTTCACTTTTATGCATTCAAATCCTTAAGGACTGGATAGAGTACCAGGAAATGTGCTGAAGCCATGTGCCCTTCACCACCTGGTTGAAAAAAGCCACCATAATCCCAGTTCCCCAATCCTCCCCTATCACAGGGATGGATAATTACTGGCCAACCTCATCCTACCAAACTCTGATATGCATCAGTATGCCTAGAGGTCCAGATGGTCTGTAGACGTTGTCATCTCCATTGGCCTTTTTTAAAGCTGTCAACCATAATAAAAAAATAAAAATAAACAAACTCCAAAGCACACATCTAGATGCTGCATGTTTATTTCATCTTGACATTTAACTTTATCAAACTGATCGACAAACCGCAACTTGAAACTTCCCTCTGGACTTTCTGACTAACAGACCCCAGCGTGTAAGGATGGACACCTCCACATCCTCCACTGACATCTTCAATACTACTGTCCTGTGTTCTGAGCCCAGTTTTGTATATATATGACGCCCACAACTGTCTTACCACAGGTGGCAGTTTTGGGTACGAGCAAACCAGACAGCTGATCAGGGCAGGTTTTTTCCCATGACTCAAAAGGGAGCTGAACAATCCCCCAAATAAAAAAAAAACAACTTAAGTCATCTGTGCCACAAATGTATTTTGCCATTGTCTATCATAAGTGCAAGAAGATGCATCCTATATTTGATCATAATTAAAGCCCGCAGAAGATGCGTTATAGGTGAAGATGCTTTCACCTATACTCAAAAGTGCAGAAGTAGGGGGGGATTAGGGTGGGGTTAGGGTGGCTGTCTCTTAGGGAGTTATGCAATGTAGAAACGCCCTTGTTAACCACTTCTGGCTGCAACACCATTAACAAATGGTCAGTACAGCTATTGTTGGGCTGATCCAACATTGATGGTGAGGCACCATTCAGGAGGTCCAAGCACTGGTGGCTAAATGCAGGGGCAGCCACCTTTAGCTCACCATCAAGAATAAAATATTATAATTAACTGCCTAAATGTGAGGCCCAGAATGTACTCAGGTCTAGGCCTCGACTTTGGAAGTGGCTTGGGTTGCAATTTTTAAGTTTCTTAGACAACCTCGGCTAAACTGTCAACAGCACCCACGTTATTACCGTAAACAGATCTTTGGCTTCCTACACCTAGAGGACATGTGCTCAATCAGTGTCCTCAGACGGCCACAAAGATCCAGGATGACCCAGCCCAGCCAGAGTACTGTACTCTGTTTTCATCAGCCTTCCATCAGGCAACCTGAGCTGCACCAACAGTCTGACACAGAGCTGTCCCCTTATGAAGAAACTGATAAAGGATCAAACATACAAACACACAGCTGCCTCAGACCAGTTAACAGACTGCTGCACAATTAGTTTGCACTAACACTAAAGCTAACTATTTGATAAACCACATACTTTGCTGTGAAAGGTCGACCCACGTATAAAAAAAATAACAAAGTTAGAGATGAGGAAGGCTCATAATTTGGTGAGACTCTGTAGCGAGGTGAGAACCACACAGGATGTGAAGGTGGATAACTATATCCATCTGACACTGACGCTGCAAATAGAAATGCCATCAAATAAAATTTCATTGCGTCCTGAACAATGCCAGTTAAGCTTCTTCTTCTAGAACATTTGCTTGTCACTGTATATTTTACAGTGTTTTCTAGGTGTTGCATCCATACTGCGTTTTGAGTTTTTGTTGATTTTATTATTTTTCCAACTTGGAAGTCAGACATTCTTGTTTGAATACCAAAAATAAATCACTGTTTGTAAGCTTTGCATTTAAATATTTGTATCAGTGCTGGAAGGTTTTTCCAAAAATCAAAATTCCCTTTATTTTTTCTCATATATTGTGATTTAATTTGGATTTAACTTTGCACTGAATACAAGCATGTGGATGAACTGGTGTGCAGGAAAAAATTTTAAATCTTCTGAACCCATAACGGTTTAAAACATTAGTTATCTTGGTACCAGTAAGGAGCCCATACCACCATTAGCAGTTCAAGACTATGCACTTCACTTTTATGCATTCAAATCCTTAAGGACTGGATGGAATACCAGGAAATGTGTTGAAGCCATGTGCCCTTCACCACCTGGTTGAAAAAAGCCACCATAATCCCAGTTCCCCAATCCTCCTCTATCACAGGGATGAATAATTACTGGCCAACCTCATCCTACCAAACTCTGATATGCATCAGTATGCCTAGAGGTCCAGACGGTATGTAGACGTTGTCATCTCCATTGGCCTTTTTTAAAGCTGTCAACCATAATAAAAAAATAAAAATAAACAAACTCCAAAGCACTCATCTAGATGCTGCATGTTTATTTCATCTTGACATTTTACTTTATCAGGCTTGGCAAACTGATCGAGAAAACCGCAACTTGAAACTTCCCTCTGGACTTTCTGACTAACAGACCCTTTGCACTGAATACAAGCATGTGGATTTTTCACTCTAGGGTTTCATTGTTTTTTTTATGATCTTGAAAGCTTCTTTGTGCGGAGTTCATTCTTGCAGTAATTGTATTGATACTATGCATGCATGGATCTGCATGCTAGCTGAAAACCTATTTTCCCTGTTGTGCCTTTGAATAGAATAAAATAGATAGAAAATCCCTTTGTTGTCCTAAAATGGAGAAATTGTGGTGTTGCAAACCGACTTTAAGCATAATGGCCTGAAGGGCAAATAGAAGCGTCTTACTCTTGTAAAATGTAATATGACCAAAATGAGGTGACTCTGTGATCTGAAATTATGATTATGAAAATGCAATTAACTGCCTGTAGCTACTACAAAAACTCTATAATAATTAATGGTTGTGATTCTATTAGCAGCAGAATTAGCAATTCTTAAGGTACTGTTTCATATAATAGACATTAGATAAGACAAATTCATGCAAATACAGTAGGACCATAGTGTTTTAATTAAACGTCATGAGAACATTAGGGTTTCATTCAGGCCCGAACCTATTTGTCTCTTGAGTTATTTACTGCAGTCTGCTGCATCGTTTTTCAGTCCAACTCTGCTGCCTTTGTGGGGATTACAGACAGAGCAACAGCAGAAGAAAGGAAACACCCACAGCTCTGAGAGCAGAATTAAGCCACTAATATACTAATCTGGTTCACATGGTGCTAGGCTGCTTTAAACACAGTCTGATAGCTACGCTTGGAAGTGAAACTGCCCTTTTATTCTTGTCTGGTTCGGTTTGTTTCTATGTACTCTCTTTACTTAGAAACCCACAGTGATGTTCATAAACAGAGCAGAGAGATCATGTTTGAGCTCATTTTAATAGCAAATATTGGCCCAGAGTAGCTACTGTAGCTTATTTTAGTCTCTCCCTCTAAGGTGGGCTCGCCCTGTCTGTTTTTAGTACATCTCAGGTGGCCTGCAACACACAACTGATTCATGTAAAGAGTGCTTCACCAGCCTGCTGCTGTTCCTCTATTTATACACACTTCCTGTTTCTACTAGCAGTAACGCTCGTTGCAACACAGAATGCTTCTTGTATCAGCAAAGGCTATTTTCCATACACACAATATTCTTCAGCGATAAGTTTTTCTAAATTAACGCTGAGATCAGCTGAACAGATTTATTACCCTGGCAGCTGTTTGTTACACAGGTGAGGTGATTCATTCAGAAGGGGAAGCAGCTGCAGGATGTAGAGCAATGAAACATTGTTCTCCTGGTTTTCAAAATTTTTTAGTCCTTTTTTTAGTTGTGAGCAAATAGAGAATAGCAGGTTTCCTGTGTGTAGAAGTAGGGCAGCTCGTCCCACCTGGGAGTACCTCTTTATTACTGTACCTCCAGTTACTTTGCTCACACTTCCTTTGTTACAGCCAGAAGTTTCTACACCTCCTCTGGTTTTATTTTTAACTCTGTCGCCCACGTGCGAACTCACCCTGCTTACCGCTGTGCCCCACACTCCTTCTAAGCAGCTACTAAACAGACGTCTCGCTATCTTTTTGTTTTTATTTTGACCCGGTTATCTAAATTACAGTTTTTATTTTGCTCCTTCTGTGCTCTTGTCGATCTGACACACTTCCCCCTTTGCCTTTCGCTCTCTTCTTCCTCCAGCAGCACAGAGAACAAGAGAGATAGCTCACCGCACAAACAAGCCAGCAAAGCCTCCAACTGCAGCCCGGTTCATCGCGCTTATCAGAGGACTGAGATCGGCAAGATTCAGGAGAAGTTCTCCACCACTGCGGCCACAACGCAGGATGCCCAGACACCAGGGGCGAACGGGGTGGTAGCACAGATGGATCAGGACAAGGAGACGGAGAAGAAGACGAATAACAGTATGAGGATAGAGACTGCTGAGCTTGTAAATGGAGATTTGGAAAGTGCAGATCAGGTGGAGGATCATTTATCACCAGAGCACAGAGACAGGACTGATGGAGAGAGCCACGCTGAAAATGAGGACAGTGAAAAAGCCACTGAAACTGTGCAAAAGGTCGAAGAGGGGAGTTTGGAGCATAAGGTAAGTTCATCATAGATCTTGTTTGTTAGTTTTTACAGACTAAGCTGAGATATCCAGTCTTTCTTTGAGTCACAGTGGAAAATTGTGTTTGAAACAGTGAACGAATGCTTTGTGAGGAGCCCAGACAGATGTCAAACACTTGAGCAGCTGAGTTTGTGCCCTGGCAACAACCCCCCCCCCCCCCCCCCCCCCCCCCCATGGGATTCTGTGGCGGTGGCTGTTGTCTGAAGATTAAAAATATCTTGTGTTCCAATCCGTCTTTCTTTCTCAGGGATGAAAACAACCAATAAATCTTACAGAATAGAAAAAATTGCATTCATCCTTAGATGAAACATGTAGCTTCTCATTCTCTGATGCCATTCTGCGCTGATTGTTGACCTTTAATCTTAAAGCAACAGTAAAATGGGCTCAGTTTAAACCTTTCTGCCTTTGCATTACATGAATACCTACTTCCCATCTTTACATCCTTTTCTTACTTTTTGTGTTGCTTAAATGAAAGTGCTCTTGAAAGAAATGCTTTTCTATGAGGCTCTCTACTCTCTGATCTTAAGGCCAATAAAAGGTCTCCAGCTATTGACTCATGACCAAGTTGATATTTTGACAGAAGCTTCCACTTTCTTATAAAACCACTAAAAGCTGACTGTGCAATATTTCAAGTGGCAGTCAGAATAAATTTTAGATGACCTGTACTTGCAAAGCACTTTATTAAGGCTAAGGACACAAGTCAATGCTGTCATACAAGTGTCACCACCAGGCATTCTGACCACCAGCAACAGGCGAGGGGGGTTTAAGTGTATTCTTCAGACAGAACAAGTGAAACATCCCACCAATTTGGGGACGAAACCCTTCCTCCTGCGCCATTACTGAATGTTTTCCAACTGGCTGTAAGCACCTTCGCTGCCTTGTACCTTACATTGATTCCTGACCAACCAACAAGCTTAATGTAGCAGACTGAGAAGCACCAACCTGCAAACTTTTCCCCAACTGTTAATGTTTATTTCTTTTTATTAATATTTTTTTCTTAGCTAACAGAGATTGCACGCTGTGTTCCTCCCCTGCTGTAGTTCAGCAGGAGAACGTGCAACGATGATGTTCTGCAGACCTTGGTTGGAAGCAGTGGCCTTTTGAGATGCTGTTGTCTTTCGATCACCTGGAACTAGTCACCCTGTTCTCTTTCTAAGAATTTTTCTTCCAATCAGCTGCTTTTCTTTGGGGATTTTCTCTTTTCTAGACCATTCTGTGTAAATCTGTGAGATCATTCTCTTTCAAAATCCTAGCAGATCAGGAGGTTCTGTAATACTCACACCAGTCTGCCTACACACAACCAATGTGCGTTTGAAGTCACTTCAATCTTTCTTCCTCTTTCTCCTGCTAAGGTTGAAATTCAGCATGTTTCCCTTGAGTACTTTGATTCTTCTTAGTGTCCCATGCAGAGACCTTCCTTAACTGAGTTTTATAGCAGAACAGGCCACCTAGGTGTACTTCAGTGGAAATGTGTGGAACTGATACTAAATCAGCCAGATGATCAGCCGCAGTAAACAACTGTAGCTCGGTCCTGCTTTTACAAGCCAACAGGTCAATCTGTGTTCACTCAACTAGAGCTTCAATCTAAAGATGCTCAGACGATCACTTTATTTTATTTTTTTCTCACATTACCACTTTTTTTAAAGGTCACGTGTCACACTTTTTAAAGTTTTGGCTTGAAGCTCATTGTAGCTTTATTAATTTTCAGGTCTGAAGCAAAAAATTTGTAAAATAAAGAGAAAGACGAGGACAGGAGGCCTTGGATTGCAGTCTTAAGATGTAAACACATGATAGGAACTGAACTCTAGAGTTTGTAACATAACTCCAACCAAAGCCTGAGGTGTAATTACACAGTCTGCAGCTTAAGTGTTGATTGTAAAGCTTTTGACAGCTGAGAACTGGGAATCGCATCAGAGTTTTAAATATTCTACTTTTAAAAAACCTCCTCACCAATTAGAATTAGAGTCAATACTAAAATATTTATGTCAGTTTTCTGTGTTTAAATAAAAAAGGGCAAAATCCATTAGAAGGGCTTCATATTGGCCTCCTTCTCCACATTCTGCACTGATAGCAGACATATTGGATTTTAAACTCTTGGGGTTTGGTCTTCAGAAGGTTTGCGGGTCTTAAAAAAACGTGTGCAAACATGTTGTACGCACAAAGCAGATCTCAAAAATAGGTGTAAAGTATTTTGCGTTAGCAGCTCAGACCAATATGCAAAAGATATTTTCAATGACTCAACCGTGCAAAGTAACTGGTGGAGGATATTTGAATATAAACATTTACCATGTGCAAAATCATTTTCCAAACCTGAAACTCAACAGCTACCTCACTTTTTGTGTCTTGTTTAACACTTCGGAACATCAGATGGAGGATTTTGAAAAAAATTTTAAATTTCTCTCCACTTTAAAAAAATAAATGCCCATGCACAATCCTGTACCCGCTCCCAAGAGGGAACGTCTATTAAACCCGTGCGAGAGCATGCACAAGCCCACTTATCCTCGTACACACTCTGTTTAAAAGTTGCAGTTTGCATCGCCCATACAAGCTTACTTTCCAAAAGAAGATTTTCAATTTTTCCACTATGACTCACCACCAGTAAGTATAAATGGGGACGAGCACATAGGACCGCCTTACGTAAACATATCACCAGAATGATTGACAGTTAGGAAGACCACTTATTTTGATGATCCACCCGGAAAGAAATTCCTCCACTATACCTTTAATTATACGCAAACAATTGTTGATAGAAAGGAGGCATGGGTGCAGTGAAAAGGGTGGAGAGAGATTCTGTGACATTTTAAAATATTTGTATGGTCAAAAATAATAGAAAAATAAAAGAAAGTATCTGTGGAGCAAATTAATGCATTGCGACAGCAGACAATCTTTATGCAGTTAAAGCAAAAATAATGACTGAACTTAGATATTGTGGCTTGTTTATAAAAAATAACAAAAAAAGGAACCTGCAAAGAGACACAGGGGCTGAAAGTGTGCATTTCTTCAGCTTTCGCATATATATTCCATTTTTTTTAATACTGTATTTAAACTTAATCTTTATTTAATTTGTTTTTTTTACTTTATTCTTTAAATCTCTATTTCTCTACATGGTTGGTAGAGCTTTGAGATAGGCTACTGTTGTGAAGTGCACTATAATTATTGTTTCTTATTATCATTAGTTTTTGTATAATTATCAATAATGTCTCCATCTGAATGGCCTTCAACCTAATCTTTTTTTTTACAGCCGCCTTTAAACTGCCTCTTAAACATGCAACCTGCTCATTTAAATGGGACAGGACCAAATAATTTTTGCACGTCCTAACATCGGTGCAGCAATCTTACTGCAACTTACTAAAAATCTGTACTACAAATGCAATTAAGCGGCTTTTATTTGGATTTTGACAGATGAGGCACTTGGATGGTCGTTCAGCTTCAACTTTAAAGATTTTGTGTTAAGAACTCATAAAATCTGACCACTACTTACAGAGAAAAACAACAGCATTGTCTTGCTAATGTAAAACATTATACTTCTTCTGTTATTGTTATAGAGAGGCTAATCCTCCCTTTGGTTAAAGTTATGTTTTCATTAGTTTAAACTTTTTTTATTTAAAGGGTAAAATGCTGAAAATGATTGAGACATGGATACCTTTGAGTTTAGTGAAGTTGATTAAGTGACTGGTGGGAAAAGAGGCAGAAACCATTGAAAATACATGAAACATTTTATGTATTCTCATTATTACTGAAGTCGGAGATTTTTGACTAGGTCACGAGGAATAAATGGAGCAAGTAGAAGCACCATTCTGGATTTAAAAAAGTATTGTGGTTATTCATTTACAAAGTAGGTTACACAGCATCTCTAAAGCAGGGGCGATAATAACACAAGAGTGCTGAAAATAGTCTTTGCAATTATTGTTCGAGTGTTTCACATACAACAGTGAAAAGCTGCCCCAGTTTTTTTTTTCTTTTTAAAGGTAAAGTGTCACCTTTTCAGGTACTGTTTGCTTAAGAAAAACAACAGATGATGTCTGTAAAAATGCAGATTCAACAGCATTGTTTGTGTAGTTATGAGGAAGTGTGGAGCTGGTTGTTCTCAGGTTACTCTGAGCAACATATCAGAGGAAAATGATGCCTTATTGTGGCTCTGCACCACATGGAATCTTCCATCATGATGGCTATCTCCCAGCATGCAACAGGAACTCCTGTGATCAGCTTTCAGGGCTCTCTTATCATCTGTACTTCTCAGTCATGGTTAGCTGATGCTTTTGTGTCATCTGGTGTCGTTTCCCTTATTCCATTTTTTCATTTCCTGTTATGAGAGCCCAGAGCTCATCCAGTTCAGTGCTACAGATACACAAATCAGTCCTAGACTCTGTTTTATACAACAGTCAAATTACTCTGCTTTCATTTCTGAGGAGTCCCAATCAGTGCAATTCGTTCAGCGTGAAAAACAGATATCATTTTAGCTCTGTAGACACACTGGAGAACTTTCAGGTTAAAGAACAGAGTTCCTCTGCAATAGTCCACTTCCTGGTTTTTGCAGGGCTGTCATCTGATAGGTTGCTTAAACAACCTCTTATCTATTCCATATTATTAGATGGGTGTCTGAAAGGCAAACTTAACAGTGTTGTCATTAATTAATTTATTTATTCTCAGGAGACAAACGAACAAAAGCTGTATAAAATCGCCAGCGAGCTCCTGCACACAGAGAAGGCGTATGTGGCTCGACTCAACCTGCTGGATCAGGTGAGGAAACTTCTGAACTCTCCGTCTCACTTCTGTTTTCAGCCTTGCAGTACATCAGCGCTGCTTTTACCCAACTTAATAAGAAAAAAGTGCTTCTGATCTCTAACCACTTATATGGCTATTCAGGTATTCTGTACTAAGATGACGGAGGAGGCAAATAAAGGCACTTTCCCTCTGGATGTGGTGAAGAACATCTTCTCCAACATCAGCTCCATCCACGCCTTTCACAGCCAGTTTCTACTTCCTGGTCTGGAAAAACGTATGGGGGAATGGTGAGTTTCAGTTAAACATCTAAAAATACAAAATAGTGCAGTAAGCCCTCTAAAAATGCTTTACGTGGAAATATAACCTGGTTAACAACACAAGTTCAACCCAAAGAGCAACACCTTATGAGAATCTAATGAAATTTAAGAGCAGATGAGAAACAGTCTCTGACTTCGGTTGAAAAGTCCTTCAAAGCCTAAGAGATTCCAGTGAACCATGTATGAGAATAGAATAGAATAGAATAGAATAGAATAGAATAGAATAGAATAGAATAGAATAGAATAGAATAGAATAGAAAATCCCTTTATTATCCCACAGTGGGGAAGTCGTGGTGTTTACAGCAGCAAAAGGTTATGGTAGAAGTGGTCACACAATGTGCCCCTTAGAAATTTGTATAAAAATAACAGATAGAAAAATAGAAACAATTGGCAAGTTGAGGCAAGGCAAATTTATTTATATAGCACAATTCAGTACAAAGACAATGCAAAGTGAGTCTTGTAGAGCAGGGGTCTTCAACGTTTTTGAGGCCAAGGCCCCCCAAACTGATTGCGAGATGGAGCGGGGACCCCCTAATTATATATATTGTATGAAATTGTGTTATATCAAACTGGTCCTATAGTCACTCTATTACAGATGGAGTAATGTAACGAAAGTAATTTCTCCCTGGGATTATTAAAGTATTTCTGATTCTGATTCCTGGTTGATGGGACAGGTGTTGTGAATGAAACGGTGCCCAGGTTTGAAAGAGCTCCTGGGTGTCGCTGAATGTGTGCATTAATGACTGAAAGACATCTTCTGCTTTCATTTATCTGTTTACTACAGTGTGTTGAATTCACGTTAATGTGTATTTAAAGACATTTTAATTAGTGCAAAAAATTGCAGGAGGGAATATAAAAAAAAAAAAAGTACCGTAATCAACCAAGACTTTCGCGACCCCCATGCAGTACCTCCGCGGACTCCCTAGGGGTCGCAGACCCCCTGTTGAAGACCTCTGTTGTAGAGTATTGTAGAACTCTACAAAATAGAGTATTGTGCTGTACAGTGTTTTTAAAATATATATACTCTGTATCTGGAGAATAAAAAAAAAAAACAATAACAGCAGTGGACATTTTTACCATGATGGATATGTGAAAAATAGTATTAACAACAGAGATGTCCAAAAATAAATGACAGCAGGACGTTATTTAACTGACTAAGTAAGAAACTGCAATCAATGGAACAACTCATTGAGGTTATTGGAAACAGTGGTGGTTATAAAGTCTTAAATCTGCTGGAAGGAAGGATCTGTGATTACGCTCCCTGGTGCATTTAGGGTGCAGAAGTCTGTCACTGAAGGAGCTCTCCAGTTCAGCAACAGCTTCATGCATTGGGTGGGAGACATTATTCAACAGATATGTTAATTTAGTCAGGATCCTTTTGTTAGGAACAGTTGGAACCCTTCCACTAGTGGGATGCCCACCAAAATTACTCCAGGAGCGCATTATTGGAAATAGGAATTTGTTCTTAATATCATACCTGGTTATTAAAGGTTAAATTGAATTAGAGATAAAACATAAGAGATATAAAATCAATGACTCATCCATGAGGTCACAGAGGAGCCCAGAATATCTAAAGCTCTACAAGTCTTACTGCCTTAGTTAAGATCAGTTTATGTTTCAGCATTAAGAAAGAGACTAAAAATGGCCTCTAAGGTCAGCACCACAGCTCCACCAGAAGACACAAAGGTCCGTCTAAAATTTACCAAAAAACATTTTATTTCTAATTTAGAGAAAATATTATGTGGTAAAATCAAAAATACTTTACTTGCTCTTTATGGTTTTCTCAGTAGTGAATAACAAATTTGGTTATCTGCTGTTTATCCTAAAATATCTTGTGTTCTAGTTTTCCCTTTAAAGTGATTCTTATTGCTTTTACTGTGCAGGACTTCCACACCTCGGATTGGTGACATTCTGCAGAAACTTACTCCCTTTCTCAAAATGTATGCGGAGTATGTAAAGAACTTTGATAAGGCCATGGAGCTGCTAAAACAGTGGACCGACCGTTCGCCACAGTTCAAGGCTATAATTCAGGAGATACAGGTACACTTGGTGCAAAAAAGCTTCCTCTATTATGCCTTTAATCCATATAACAGGATTAAAGGTGAACAGATGCATTCCTCTGCGACATTAAACTAATAAAAACCTTCCTTTTTGTTTGTGGACAGAGTCAGGAAATCTGTGGCAATCTGACGCTCCAGCATCACATGTTGGAACCGGTGCAGAGAGTTCCTCGATATGAGATGCTGCTGAAAGACTACCTGAAGAAGCTGCCTCAGGATGACCCGGACCGCAGCGACGCAGAAAGTATGTCAACATGTATTACTGGGTCTTTACACCATGCTTTACTTGATAATTGATGCCTTGTTTATTTATCTTTGGCTTTTTATTCTGTTGTGAACTGGTTTTGATCAGCAGTTTAAGAGACTTTCTGAATGTGGAAGCCTATTTTTATTTACTCCCATGGAAATGTCTTGGTTTAAGTCAATTAGCTCACAGTCTGTAGGTATAAAGCAGGGGTCTGCAACCTGTGGCTCTATGGACCCTCTACAATCGCTCTTAATATTGGCTAAATACCGTATAAAGAACCAACTAGTATATTAAAGGTATAGTGGAGGTTCCTCTTTTTCTGGGTGGATCTTGAAACTAAGTGATCCAAGCTTGTATGAGCGATGCAAACTGCAATTTTTAAACGGAGCATGCATGAGGAGAATTGGGATCATGCATGCTCTTGCACGCATTTAATAGATGTTCCCTCTCTGGAGTGGATACAGGGTTATGCATGTGCATTGTTTTAAAGCTGAGAGGGTGGATCTTTTCAAAAAATTACGAAAATCCTCCACAATACCTTTAACAAATACCATTTTAAGAAGGTTTAGCTTAATCTTTTAAAAAACATTTGAAATGAAATTTCACAATGGAAAACCAGAACAGTTTTTATATCTGTATTTCTATAACAGTTTTTTTCTACTTCAGATTATATCCTACAAAGGAAAAAAAACACACTTCCTGTTCATGAAAGGTTTGCATTTTAGTTTGTTAATTGGGTCATAGAATAATTTTATAGGGTATTTGGTGCTGGTGCTGTCCTCTGATTAGGGTGTGTAACATTGGTTGGGCTGAAAATGGCATATTTGCTGTTCTATGAGCCCTAATTCAAGCCAGGTTAAAAGCCCTTGAATGAAATAAAATGTTTTCTTCCTTTTATGGTATGCTCTTCAATATTGTGCTGATTGGTTGGTTTAAAATGAGCGATGCTGCTGAGCAAAAACGCATCATAGCAACAAGCACTCACTCACTGAAACATCGTAATTGTTGATAATGTGGTTGACCAGACTACAGTGCAGCACGTAGTTGAAACACACAGGGTATTCGAAACCAAGCCATCAGCTCCGGAGCTGGTCCGGGAACCCCGGCGGACTGGGGCAGGGAGCTAGAGTTGTCAAAAGATCAGTTTTGAATAATAAAATGAGATCAGTTATTTCTATCATTATGAATTTTCTGCTCACCTTATGTCAGGTTTATAAAAAACAAAAATATAATGATGATGTAATGGCATCTAAACTCTAATAGGATACATTTGGTGTTAAATAGTTAAAAACTAAAAATACAAATAAATTTGATGTTGTTTTTGTTAAATAAAATGGCAAACTAGATTTCCTATAGCAGGTGTTTAACAAAGATTATAATTTGTGTTAAATTTTTAAAGGAAATGTTGTATTTGCAGCTCTAAGCAACCTTTATTTTGCTGGGGTCAGAATAAAGTAGCTCTTTGGATTTAAAAGGTTGCAGACCCCTGGTTGCATAGAACGAAGTTTATAGCTTTAGCATCTTTGTGTTTAACGGTTCATCCATCCTTCTAAAAAATAATGTAAAACTTAAAATCTAGGTCATGAAAAATAAGACTTGTTTTACATAAATAAATGGCTAAATGTACTGTAGGAGTGTATGCTTGGGGTAAGAATGCAGTAGTGTGTATTTTTGGTAGTTTCAGGATTTTCAACAGCCCAGAAGTTTACATTAAATGAAATAAAACAGTTTAAATCAAGCAAAGGACAGACAGTCTGGACTTCAACCGATCATGTTCATTTTAAGTCATAATCAGAAGATCTGGTTGTGTAAAATGCTGTATACATTAAGGAAACATGGATTCATATAATGGCAAAATGAAACTTCTATCTTGTTTTTTTCCAGAATCATTAGAAATAATTTCTACAGCAGCCACTCACTCCAACAGTGCCATTAGAAAATCTGTAAGTAGTCATGGAGATTCTCTGGATCTGCTATTAAAAGAATATCTCTGCTTTGGGTTGATTTTACTAAAACAATCTTTTCTTTTCACTGTTCAGGAGAACCTAAAGAAACTGATGGAGATATACGAGATGCTGGGAGAAGAGGAGGACATCGTTAACCCCTCAAATGAATTTATAAAGGAGGGTCACATCCTAAAGCTGGCGGCAAGGAACACCTCAGCCATGGAGCGATACCTCTTTCTGGTGAGTAGTGTGCAGCCAACACATACACCCACACAAGCACGTTTCTCTATCCTCGTGGGGACATTCAATTGACTTCCATTCATTTCTAAACCATTTCTAAAGCCTGTGACCTTTACCCTAACCATTACAAGTTAATACCTAACCCTAATCCTAACCTAAACTCAATTCACAACTTAGTGCTAAACCTAACACTTTAGCCTAAAACAGCATTTGTACCCATGGTGACCAGACATCGGTCCTCACTAGAGCACCCTTTCCCCATGATGTGCTAAGATTTATGGAAAATGGTCCCCACTATGTAATAAAATGCATCCACACACACACACATTGCTATTTAGTAAACAGCACAGCAGGAAATCATCCTCCTTTAAAGGAAATTAGCGAATCATTTCCTGTTAGCAACAACTCTGTTTAATGGCATGTATGGTGAGCATTATTATGGTCCATTTATGCTTCCTATTAGCTGCTTTCATAACCCGCGTCAGCTGCATACAGTAATTCAGCTTAGGAGCTAAGGTCTGTGTCTTTTCCCTCCAGTTCAACAACATGCTGCTGTACTGCGTGCCCAAATTCAGCCTGGGAGGGCCCAAATACACAGTCAGGACCAGAATTGGGATAGATGGCATGAAGGTTCTGGAAACAAGCAATGAGGACTATCCTCATACCTTCCAGGTGTCAGGCAAAGAGAGGACACTGGAGCTTCAGGCCAGGTGAGCTGAAATATTACAGAACTTTGATGAGTAATCTTCTGTTTGTACCTAATAGGTCTTAATTACAAAACCAGTATGGGATTTTCTGTGGTACCACTACCTCTTAGGAAAATCAATTATTTAGTGTCTACAAATGCTGTAAAAATCCTATCCTAATGACCATGGTGGTAGGTTAGAAAACTGAGCTGACTAGAGGCTCTAACAGAATCTATGGGATTATATTGTCAAGAGGTATTTTAGAGACACCAGACTCTAAACTGACGGTTCCTGTCAGGGAACCAGGGATTGCAAAACAATTTAGCAATACCAAAGGCAGACAATTTAACAATCCAAGCCAGGCTGTGTTGATGCAGAAAGACATGCAAAGAGAGCCGAGAAAAATAATTGAGTCCAGAGATATGAATAAATTTTGGATTGACATTTCTGTTTAAAAACAGTTTGTTTAAATTATCTTTTTATAAGATAATATTTTATCTTTTAAGTAGGTATACTTTTATTATATACCATTTATTTCACTGTACTAGTACTACTTTGAGGTGATGCACAAGTACATTTCTCCAATGTGAGATGTATTAAGGTCAATTAATCCATCAATCAATCAGTACTACTATAAGTCTGTCACTAATTATTAAATTTCAAAATGCAAGAAGAAGCTTTGGTTAAACATATCCTGTCTTTTTCTGTTTTTTTTCCTCAGCTCAGAGCAAGACAAGGAAGGCTGGATCAAGGTACAGACAGTCCAGGCCTCCAATCAGCTCTTTTTTTAAACTTAAACCCTGAAGACTCATGTTTTATCTGTTTCTCTCTCAGGCTTTCCAGGAGACCATAGAAATCTTCCAGCAAAAGAACGAGTCATTCAAGAGCGCCTTAAAAGACGTGGAAGTTTCGGTTAGTGGTGCATGTTCTCAAAGGGAACTGTCAGCTGTTTCTAGGCTTGTCATGCTGAATAAGTTTATTTTCATTTGGTGCAGAAAGAAGAGCTGGGGAAGCGGGCCCCTCGGTGGATTCGCGACAATGAGGTGACGATGTGCATGAAGTGTAGGGAGCCCTTTAATGCCATCACACGGCGAAGACACCACTGCAGAGCCTGTGGCCATGTAAGTCATCTCCCTGCAGAATGCATGCGGTCTGGGTGGAACAGGAGACACCGAGGTTTAACCTTTAAATCAAATCATGTTAGCTAGTTTAAATATATAATATATTTGTGTCAGAGTTCGGCTCATGAAAAATGTTCACCTTTGCTGTCCTATTTTTGACAGATTTGTTATTTTTGACATAACGGTTATAAATTTTGACATGAATAAAATGCATAGCAAATACTCACAGAGAGTGTTTATTTCTGCTACTTTTAATTATTAATACCTATGACGAATGTAAACCCCAAATTACCTTTCACTTTAAGAAGATTAAAACATTGCATCACATCAATAATTAAAAAAAAGGATATTGAACCCAGAGGTGTGGAACCATTTAACAGTATCTACTCTCAGCTCTTGGTCTTAAATCATTTGGTGTGAATTAAGTGCATCAATGCATCGAGACATGGAGACAATCAGCTTGTGGTTCTGCTCAGATGTTAGGGTTATTTTGAAGCAACATTTCAGCTGTATCTTCGGTTCTTTTATCTTCGTTTTTAAAACAGTCTGTAGATGCTTTTCGATGTTTTTGGGTCAAGCTTGTACACTCCACTATTCCTTAAGACTCTGGGACCCTGATTTCCAAGTGAAGCGCTAAACTCTCTTTTGTTTAAAGAGGACTTTGGATAAACCAGCCCTTGGTTAAGGATTCAGACTCCAACTAAAATCCACTCCAGGAGTTTCTGCACTTATAGGCTTTGCTTCGGCTTTTTCTACAACACTTTTTTCTTGACTGAACTGGTGTTAATATACCTAGTGCTTAATGAGAAGCCTGTTTCTTTATCATTAGGCTTTTAATGAAATATTTTATATTCATTCTTTTATCTTCTGTTATGTAACTGTAACTTTACTCCCGTTTATTTTGAAGTTTTAGATGCCTTAAAGCTTTATATGTAAATCTCTTTATTGTTTTACAATGGGGAAATTCACTCTCTGCATTTGACCCATCCCCTTGGGGAGCAGTGGGCTGCGATTGTGCGGCGCTCGGGGAGTAGTGTGGGGTTAAGGGTCTTGCTCAGGGACCCAGAGTGCAGGCTGTGGGATTGAACTGGGTACTTGCAACCTTCTCAGAGGACAAGCGCACTGCTCTAACCAATAGTCCAACACTCCCAAAAAGAACACTCCTCTTGAGTTTGACTCTTAATCTCAGGGTTTTTCTTTTTATTGGTTGAGCACCCGGCTTAAACAATGGGTATTTACTAGATTCTCATTCTCCTGGCGCTTCAGATATAATTTCTCATAACAACGATTTCTAGCTTAAGAACTCCCAGTATCTCTAAATCTTCCTCTCCCTCTGTGACATCTGCATTGAACTCTGTGACGATTAAATCTAGCTTGCTTCTCTTAGGTGGTCTGCTGGAAATGCTCAGACAACAAGGTTCAGCTTGAATATGACAACAACAAGGTGAACAAAGTCTGCAGGGACTGTTACTGCATCCTAACAGGAGAAGGGGTGACTGAGGGCAAAAAGAAGGGCATCCTCGAGGTAATGTTTAATAGTGCTTTGCAAAAAAAGTCATCATCCACTGTTTCCAGGTGGCACCGTCTGTTGTATTTAATATACATTATATACGTACTACATGTGGCTCCCTCCTTCTCTGTGTAGATTGAGGCAGCTCAGATCACAGACAGCAGCATCATGTGTGGCTTCCTGCAGCACTTAGCTGAGAAAGGCAAAATTTGGCAGAGGGTCTGGTGTGTCATCCCAGAAAAGGAGTGTCTGGTGCTCTACCTTTACGGAGCTCCACAGGTACAAAAAAAAATAATATCCAGAAATATATCTAGGAGATCTTTTCTTATGGATAACATCTGATCTTTCTGCTGTGTCTCACAGGACGTGAAGGCCTTGTGCACCATCCCACTGCTTGGATACAATGTGGAGGACAGCCCCCGGCAAACAGAACCTCCGTCCAGCTTCCGCCTCTCCCAATCCAAGTCTGTCCACAGCTTTGCTGCCGAAACAGAGGAACTCAAGCAGCGCTGGCTGAAAGTCATCCGAGTGGCGGTGACAGGAGAGATGCCAGCACGACCTGAGACCAACGGTGGCAGCGTGTTGGAGAACAGCAACACACAGGAAGCAAACCCTGATGACACCTAGGTGGACGGTTGTCCTCAAACTAAACCGCTGTGGGACTTTCCTCAGCATCCAGACTGCTGTTTAACCATTCTTAGGATGGATGCTAAGACACGCCCCTCTCTGTTCTGTCCTCTAAAGACACGGAGCATCGACTAAAGCTGGATGAGCTGTCCTTCTTATAATCTTTTGGCTGTCTCCTGGATTTTTCCCCTGCTGGAACTGTGCTGGATTCCTAACTTTCTGGTACAATCAACACTATAGCAAAGGAGCTTCCAGATGCTTCTTCTACTGAAGAGAGCACTATTACATAAAAATCTAACTTCAAGGAGGCAGCCTTGCAGCTTTCTGTCTAGGATATGAATTGAGGTGTCTGCTGGTGCTGTAAACCTGTTTCTTGTACAGAAGGCCTTTTTTAATACAAAAGAAAACCTGCTCTCTATTATGTACAGAAATCTAGTTTTAAGCTTTCCCTCTATGAAAAGGAGAAACATCTGAACGTTATACATGATGATTCCAGTATCTCCCCACTGGGTTGGACTGCTTGAGCAGATGGATCTAGAACTAAAAGAAATAGAATGAACTTGGATGATGATGCGCTCTTCTCCCGTCACACCGTGAAAATAGACCCTGGAATGGATCTGGACTAAACGTATAGAGAGAGACAAACGTAAAAACCACAATTCCTAGGGAAACTGAAATATCGATGACAAATTAGATCAACCACAGTTCCCCTGCAAACCTTTTAAAGGCAAAGCAAATCGATTGTTTTTTTAAATATAGTTTAAATCACATATTTTTCTATCTCATACAATATTAATGAGCTGATCACTAAACCGGCAGTTTTTTATTTCTAATAAAATTACTTATGCATTCAAAGGGTTTTTTTTTTAAATATCCCTCCTTTTATTATTTTAATTGATGCATATGAACTAAAACAGCAGCAGGTTAAGTGGTATGTTTTACTGTTTGTCTCAGATTTACCCACAGGAGGGATATACGGTCGAGCAGATTGAGCAATGTAGTTTAGTATTGGACAAAGAAAATTTATTCTTTTTCCTATTAATTTATTTTCCCCAGATATGAGCAAGTGAGTGAGATTATTTGCCAATGGAATAAGATGATTTACATTTAAAATAAGACAAAAACTAGCAGATTTATAGAGCACCAATTCACAACCTGTCATCTCAAGGCACTTTACAGACAATTCAATCAGATCATCCTGTCACATTGGTAAAAAACTTTTCTAAAGAAAAGCTGATTGCATGGAGGATACGTCCCTCCTGGATGAGCTTCTAGAGACGGGACACATCCTGTTGACTACAGCAGTCATTCACATTTTAAGTGTATAATTATCTTATTTCAAGGTCAAAATACTAATTTGATTGGCTTATCCTCTTATTTACCTGCTGTTATTGATGAAAACTCTTTTTAAAGACACTTTTAGATCTGTTTTTGCAGTATGATAATATTTTACTTGATTCGACTCAGTGTAATCTCACTACAGGTATTTAATGCTGAAAAGCCTTCAGGAAAAAAAAGGGTAAAGTTAAAACAAGGGAGGAAAATCAGAAGCCTCTGTTGTGTATCAGACATATCGGTTGAAACGTATGATGCTTTCTGCATCAGAAAAGCAACACCGACTGTCCTCATGTGAAGGAAGATTTAAGAGAGAGTGATGAGTGAGGAGCTGAAAGAGGCAGTACGCTTTGATGATGGACCAGCAGCACAATCAGACATAGCCAGCCGAAGCAACAAGTGTAAATGTGTTTTTATTGCTGTAATTAATTTTATTTAAAGTAATTTATAAAGTGTGACGAGCACAGACTGTTCTCAGTCAGCTAAAAAACAGCCTCTTCATTTTTATTAACCTGAAATGTGTCACACAGACCCCCAGAGCTGGACAGACCCAGGGGATGTGCCTATATTATCCAAAGGATGCTCCCACGCCGTACCAGTGCTCGTTTTTCCTTTTCAGTATTCCAATAAAGCCACAAGAGCACAAACCTGATAAATCTGAATGTAAATCCATATTTCTGTCCCAAAAGTTTGAGAATCTACGCACTTTACACCCTATAAGGAAAGTGTACCTACAAAGAAAATAAAGACATCCAATAATCTGTACCGATCTTGTTTGCTTGGTGCCTGAGTATCTTAAGTATTCAGAAATGTTTTCTGAAAAGGAATGTTCCTTTAACACGGCTCCTTGTTTAGCTTCTCCTCTTAAGATTTTTACAACTTAACCCAGTGAGGTTGAGCCAGAAGCTGCCGTTTATCACAGTAGACCAGATAAAGCCAATAAAAGATGAATCAGGAAATGGAACTACAGATATTTTAGGTTGTGTGTTTGCAGGTACATTTACAATTAGGTGTGGCTGTTTAAAGTTTTAGGTCAATGTTGATTTTATTCAGCTTAGATCTTGACCTGCGTTTCCTTGCAGGGTCGCCTCCAATTCGTCAGAGACAATGAGGCAATTTAGAGACCAATTAACCTGGCAGTCGTGTACTTCAGAGAAGCCAAACATGCAGAAAGAATCAGGTGCTCAGCCTTTCCCTTATGATCGTGTATTTATTGCCTTTCCTAATAAACTAGTGGTAGTTTCTTGATTTTTCTGTAATATTACAGACGCCTACAGCGTTCATCTCTCTCTTAACCAGCCGAAAATTTCTAGACTAACAAGAAAGAAAATGTTTTATTTCTTAATGTTCTCATTTATGGGAAGGTACCCAGAGCTGGAAGTATTTTTTATTTTCTTTTATGAAATAGATGTTAAGTATTGACATTTATTTTCCATTTTGAAAGTATTTATTTTCAGAAAACACAGAAATAAATCAGAATATCAAAAGCCTAACAAGTAAAAATATAGGTGCATTCTTCCACAAGCAATGATGGCATTAGAACTGTGGCAAAGTGCCACATCAGTATGCTCACCGCCCAACAGCCATTAGAGACGTTGGTCAGTAGAAATCAGTGAAGATAACAAGAGGAGTTATTGTTTTATAGCCGGTCCCATTCAGACACACGCATCATTTCTTGATCAGTCTTTTGTGTTGGAGCGCTCAGCTCTTGGGCTGTCGGATCAAGCCGCGGATCCTTCGAACCAGAGCCTGGATGAAAGTGTAGCGAGAGCGGACCTGGCTGTATAGGCCCTCAACCTCCAGTAGCTTCCGCTGGAGAGCTTCCCCAAATCCAGCATCCATGTCGCCTTTCAGCTGCAGCAGAAAAATGTAGTCATTACAGATGAATATAAGAAAGTTAACATCCTGTTGATAGGACAATTTTCCTACCTGGTCCAAGTCTTGCTGGCTGACTCTAGACAGTCCAACTCCACGGCCGCCACCAGCCTGCAATCCACCAAACGACTCTGTAAAATAAACCAGAGTGGACATCTTAAAACGCTTTTTCTAAAGAAGTCTAAACATCAACGCTGTTTCCTGCCTGTCTTTGTTGTTTGATCATGGCAGACGGACAGCTTTAGGGAGAGAGCTCACCGTCTTTAAGGCGGGATCGGAACAAACTGGATCCAGGCAGCAGGGAGTCTTTGGGGTCGCTGGGAGAACAATGCAGCAGGTAGTACTCCAGATGGCGCCACAATACAAACAAGCAGGTCTCGATGACATCTGAGGAAGAGGCGGGTTAAGGTTCAACTGCAGCTTGTTAGGGATATGATCAGCATGGAAGCTGGCTAGTCCGTAGCCACAGGATGCACTCTGACGTCTTCAGCGAACAGCACCAGTGTCTTCAGTGGTGCTTCTGTTAGGTCGCCGCCTTCAGGCATCTTTCCCATAGCCACCAACTCCCTCAGACATGGAATGCCCCAGAACTTTTGTTTTCCCCCATTTTTAACCAATCAGCACTTTTCTGCTGCTGTCAATTCTATTTTCTAAGATTTAGCCAATATTCCACCCAAATGCAGGGTGTAGAGAAATACAGTTAACCCGATCCATTTATATAGGAGCACAGTTTAAAGTCTAACAAACTGGATGGTTTACATTTCAGTCAAAAAAAGAAAATAAAAAAAGACCTGAACTTTATTACTTTGAATAAACCAAATAGAAACGTTAAAGGATACAGGAGCATAAGGCCAGAAGTTTGGCTCTGTTGTTGATGAACTGCACCAGCCGCCTCTTGGCTAGCAGGCTCCTCTGGACCGATGAGATCTTCTCCACGGCTCCTGGACCTGACACCAGGCCCTGGCACAGCTGCACAGAGGATCAGAAGCACTAAGGTTTAACCCTGATAGTTCTCTACCTTTTATAGCTTGGTGTTTAGATGTTGGATAATTAAAAGTGATGACGATCACAGTTAATGGCTGATAATTACAAGTTTAACTTTCCAGCTGGAAATGATTCATTTACAACGACATTCTGGCAGAATATTATGTACCAATGTAAATTATCTGGCATATCTAAATATAAAAATACCTACTAAAAACAAAACGTAGACCATGGGGAGTGTTTTAAGAATCTTTTTGTTTTTTTCTAATGATATATAGAAACAGGATCATAAAAGTAGAGGAGAAAATGTCGCATGGCAGCTGATTTGAGGGTTACCTCCTTGAGCTCCTCTGGAGGCAGCTGATCAAGGCCCTGCAGCTTGCTCAGGCTCTGCCGGTGATTCTGGTGGAACTGGAAGAAATCTGAAGCGCTGTTCTTCAGCAAATACAGAACCAGACCAAGGCTAGGGACTCGGGAGTGAGCAAACAGTGGCAGAGAAGATGAAAGATCTTAAAGGTGGGGAAAAAAAACACACAAAAGAACATGAATAGAACAAAATAGAACAACAACCAACCAAATAACTATTTTCCTGTTTCCTTTTTGTAAAGTATGGAGCAGATGTCACTAACCTGAGCGTCCTCCATCCCTGCCAGCTGGCTCGCTGCCAGACGGACTAAAGAGGCAGATGCTGAACTGAGCCTGGGAGGAGCTCTGCAGCAATAGAGTCTGGCAGTACTCCATGATGTTGGCACACACCTTCAGGACAAAAGAAGCCATACATCAGGGCGGCGGCGACAACCCAAAAACATGCAGCCTGCCAAACATTAAAGCACTGTCCCCGCTTCCCCCCACTCAGATAACCCAAGTAAACATTCCTCTAGTAGACAATGTACGTCAGACCTGCATCATGGCCACTTCAATTTCCTCTCTCCGTTCGGCTGATTCTCCAGGTGTAGAAATCTCTGCCTGCTTCAACAACCTCTCTCGTTCGCTTCCTGCCAGGCGGCCCAGCAGGGAGAGACACAGGCGCTAAGAAGGGAGACACAGTTACCGACTAAAACACGGAATACATGCATTAACAGCAATGCAATTCAGACAGTCTTTTGATAATTTTCCAGAATCTTCCTTTCTTTGAACAATTTCTGAACATATCAATCAAACTATTCAGTTGTGACAGCATCCAAACCTTATATCAGCTCTAATCTAACATCTCTTGTACCTGTAGGCACAGTTTTTGAAAATAATGTTTTAGGGTAAAAGGTTTCTCACCTGGAATCTGGTGATGTGACCCTGAAACTCCATGAGAGCGGCACTGTTGATCTCTCCACCCATCTCAAGAACACCTAACAGAACATAAACTCCACTTATTGAATCACAGAGTCAGCAAATATTTCTGGGATTTACAGGATTAAAAACTAAGAATGAATCAACAAATAAAATAATAAGAGTTAAGGATCTTTTTGGGAAGGTTTATATACCTGGCAGAGCACTTTTACTGATGATTGCAGTGAGCAGAGAGAGTTCCTTCAAAGCTCCCATGCTTAACTCCTGACAACGAAGCAGAGCCTGAACAGTGTCTGCGTGGACGATCAGCCATTGGAGGACCTGCACAAATACACAGCCTTGTTTTTTTCACCCATTCATTTTCATTGTGTATGTCCTAACCCTGTACCTCACCCCAAACTCACTCAATTCACAACACGTTCTTTATACAAACAGGTGAGGACCAGAAAAATGTTTCAACAAATAGTCCTTAAATTGCAGGTCAAATAAAAACATGCAGTTTTTATTGCAAAAGAAAGAAACATTGGGGCATGCAGGTGGCACATTGGTTAGCGCGCACAACTCATGTATGGAGGCCTTAGTCCTCTACGGGTTCTAATTCGACCTGTGCCGCATGTTTCTCCCCATCTCTCATAACCCCTTTGCTTTTAGCCTACTGTCAAAAAAAACAAGCCTCTAGTAAAATCTCAAAAAGAAAAAAAAGAAACATTTAAAACAAACCAGTCTGTGTGTAAAGAGTTGAACGCGTTTAATTTCTTATATTTTATAACTGAAATATATGACCCAACCTTTCATCTGTAATTCCAAGAAGGTAGGAGATTTCTTACTAAAGTTTTGTTTACCTGTGCTGCCCCCTGCTGGTGATTCATGGACGTAGAGGTCAGTATAACTTGAAGAAGCCTCAAAGTTGGTAAAAGAATCTGTCTGTAGCGCTCTATTGGACTTGGGATGAAGCCAGATGGATCCCGCATCATCCTGAGACCACATGGGAACAGAAAGACTGAGTCAGACAGCCGACTAGCGATGCACAGACAGAAAAATTTAGGCCAATTTCATCCTTCGATTATAGTGTTGGAAGTTATGGTTGAAAAATGTCTAAGCTACTAGAGCTAATATTGGGAGAAATTATTAGAGACTGAGTTTTTCATCTCAAACTTAAAATCTTCTTTGGTATTAAAATTTCTGAAATATAAAACAAAAATAAATATATAACATCAGATAAATATTTGACAGATTCCTTCTCCTTCCTTCCTTACCTGTGGGAATCAGTGTCAGGAATCATATCGAACACCTGACACTCAATCAGCTGTGCCACCAAACCACAGCGCAGCAGCTCTACAGCCCCCTGGCCGCTTTTAGCCACACGAGTCAGCAGAGCCTGCAGCAGCACAAGCAGTTTAGCTTCACTTAGAAAGATGTACATTTACATCTGTAAAGATGTGCTAGAACATTTAGTCAAAATGGAAAACATGTCATGCTTTCCTCACCATCTTGCTTTCATAGATGTATAGAGGCTTGAGGATGGGTGGCTGGGGTGTGAGCAGGCTCTGCAGGGCAGTATCATCCTGCCTCAGACTCTCCACCAAAGAACGCAGGTAGCCGCTGTTGCACACAAAAAGCAGCCACTGATTCTGACGATCTATTGACAGGATACGATCCAGAACCGCAAGAGCCAACATCTGAAAAAAAAGGGAGGGGAAACAGAGTCTGGATTCAGTAAAAAATAATTACTATACAAGATCCTCGTCAAATAGGTGCTTTTCCATCCCTTAACCAGAACCACTGTCAATGGCAGGGCCAACTTTCAATAGTTTATACAGATTCCAGCTAAGTGCCACCTCACTGTATCACTATAGATGTTTAAATCCAGGAAATGGTTCATCATCCATCAGTGTTATACTAAATGTTGGTGGAAAACAACAGCAGAAAGATGCCGTAATAGTCTGTGCCCTAATCACTATAGAGCACTATATATAGCCATTTTAGATGAGTGTCTGAACACATAGTGGATGAAAAAGTAGTGGACTCGAAATTTCCCACAATGCACCTTGAAAAGCAATGATCATCTGTGGTAACTAGATGAGCAGATATGTCCCAGAATGCTTTGCGAGAGCATCATGGGATTTGTTGTAACGGGAGACATAAAAATGGTGCAGTAACCCTGCAGGGAGGCAGAGTTAGTGACCAACCGGGAGCAGAAAGTAGTGATCATCTGTCAAAACAGTCAATTAACTGAGTTCACTATAAAGTCCACTATATAGTCCCCGCTCTTTATAGTGATTTAGGGATTAGGGCAGACATTCAGACACAGCCCATCTTAGCTTTGCGATTTTTTTCTCTTCATAAATCTAAAAAAGTTCAAATAATCTAATTCACAACTTTCTTAAAATTATTCTAAGTATTTAAAAGAATCTTTGTAATGTATTGCAGGTTTGGATCTTACCCTGGTTATTTCATGACCATCACAAGCATCCCGACACACAACCTCCATGAGGGCTTTGCCATAGCTTTCAATGATAGCGAGGTTCTCTCTCTGTAATTTAGAGAATCCATCTTCAGGAGCAGTGAGACGCTCCCACATGGCCTTTCCTGCTGCACAAAGAAGAACATTTCTATGATAATTAGGGCTGAATTGAAGGATTAATTTGCTAATCAATTAATCTGTCGATTATTTATTGATGACTAATCGATTAATTGACAATTATTTCAATAATTGATAAATTACATTAATCCGATTAATTGTTTCAGCCCTACTGATAATCTTACCAGAAAAAACGTAATCTGTACACAGTTAATTTCAAATATTGCAAAAACCACAGTAGATTTCCTTGTGCTTTTCACCTGTCTGCAGAGTCTCTGGTTCCTCGGGTTTCTGGGCTATTTGCAGGTAATACAGCAGAGATCCATACAGATGAGCACGCAGCCGCTGGTATCCACCTCCTTAAAGGATCAAGAAGAAAAAGAAATAGTTTGAATCAAAAATGCCTCTTACTAGAGTCGTCTGATAGGAATTAGCCTACAACACGTTTTTAATGACCAACCAGTGCAAAGGATAAAGTCCAACAGTTTGCGGAGGATCAGGTGAAGGGCTGAGTTAGCGATGGAGGCAAAGCCTGAAGATGCTTCAGCTCCCACCCCCTGCTGCTGCTCAGACAGCACTGACTGGCTGAGCTGTGCAGTCAGAGTGAAGACTGCTCCTGCAACAATGGGCATCAACTCTCCTGCTGCATCCTCTGATAACACCTGCACAATGCAAAGCAGAACCACAAACGGCCTCAATACATTAATAAAAAAAATTAATCTGTAATTTAAGGAATTATGCCACATTAGGACAAGCTGAGCAATCTCACAACCCCCCTTATTTTCACCAACCTTATCAAACAGATCGAGCAACAAGTCTCTGATGATGAGCTGCCTGTCTTCAGCAGGTATAAGATCAGCTGGACAGGCAGTTAAAAGTGTCTCCACCAGGCTCCTCCAGGACTGCAGCGCATGGCGCTTCGCACTCAGGCTACGGCGGACCCGGTTACGTTCCACTACCTGCTGCAGGATGGAGTTCACCTCCTGTGGAAAGGGATCCAGGCACGAAGGTGTTGATTAGTAAAAGGTTTTTCCAAGAGTTTAATCATCAGATAATTAACAAATTAAGAGATCTCAACATTTTGAAAGTACAATTTACGTTCGGAAGAAAGGAAGGACACTTACTTCCATCAACAGGGGCCTCTGTCCTATTGCCGCCACTCCCTGCAGAGCATTGACCTCAGCCACCAGCACTCTATGAAGTAACTGGGAACATGATGGCAAGAACAAAACACTAAAGACAAATCTACATAAAAAGAAAGACACTGAAATGACAGCAGAAAAATAAATTAAAATGTGGTCTTCCACCCAGACACTCACCTTGACGTTGCAGACAGTGTGTCCCTGCTCGTTGACATGCTCACAGTTGGAGATCACCTGCTCAATCTGAGTGCGCTCAAAGAAGTCCAGCTGCAACAGCTCAGGCATGTCCTGGCTAAAGTCAATGGCATCCAGCACGCTGAGCAGCTTCCTGCGCACTGATGGTTAAAAAAAGCCAATATAATCAGTTAATTGGTTAATAGACTCACACGTCACAGTTTGTGTGTGTTTAAAGGCTGCATGGTACAAACCTTTAGAGACCGTCTCAAAATGTAGGAAACCACTGACTGATCTGGTATCTTCTTCCATCCCAGACTCGCTCTCAGCTACAGATGAAAACAGATCTCTCATTTTAAAACACATTCATTCTTTTTCTATAATCACAATAGATACAACTTCCTTCAGGGAATGAGCATAAAAACAAAGAAAATAGTTTAATCAACAGAGAAGAGCAAATTAGACAACTGCTGGGATCTTCAAACTTTCAACATAAGCTGGAAGCTACCGGCATGCTGAGGGTGCGGCTGATCATCCAGCAGGAGGCTAACCAGGCGCTGGGTGTGAGAGCGCTGCCGGTTCAGGGAAGTCACCCTCAGCTCGATTGCAGCGGTTTTCATGAGCCATGACATTTGGGAGAGGGCAGCAATCTGGTTCTCTGTAGACAAAAACATAACGATCGAGAAATAACTGGGGAGCCTAACTTTGCTTGTGCAGCTATTAGCAGAAAACACTTCACCTTCTGCTAAAGGAATTGGTTCAGTTTAAATTTGCATTAAAAACTGTTCACAGCAACCAGTATGGTGACTTTTTCAAAACTTAAAGAAGCTAATAGTTAAGAATACATAGATCATAACACTGAGCATTAATCAGAAAACTGATTATGCAATCAGGAAGTATTTCCACACAGACAGTGCTAACTTATTTATGGTATTATAATCAGAGCTGGGCCAGGTGGACAAGAACTGAAACATAGTTTTAGTAGAAAGCTTTTTTTTTTTTAATAACAGTTTCCTGTTTGAGCATTAATGACTAATTGGACATATGTTTACAAAAACTGCTGTTAACCAAGCACACAGTTTATACAATGCAGTGTTTTGCCCAGGTGGGGGAATTTAACGAAACTTATTAGTTTAGAAAAGTTTGACCAAAAAACTGCTTATTTTATAAAGTAAAGCAGATATTAAGCAATAAAACGAAAGCTACAGCTGAAATAATTGTTTTGGCCCGTTTCCAGTTCCAACTTTACCATCTTGCTTTTTCTCCTCTTCTTCTATCACATTATCCTCTTGTTCTATGCCGTCTCTCCACATTATCTGGATGACTGACGACTTATCAACAGGAGAACGGGGTGTATATTTACTCAAACACATTTTTCTCTTTGATCAAATATTCTCCTGAATGTTTCTTTTGCACTAAAGAAATGTGTCTTTTTTTGTTTTTGTTTTTTTTTTGTAGAGTGACATTCATAATTCTATATACAACCACTAATATACATAATTATATTTGATGAAGCAAATTAATGACTGATGAATGGCAATATCCATCCATTTTCTGTCACGCTATATCCCTGCTGGGCTTGCGAGTGGTGCTGGTGCCTACCCCCAGCTGTCTACGGGCAAGAGGCGGGGTACACCCTGGACAGGTTGCCGGTCCATCGAAGGGCAACACGGAGACAAACACGAAAAACAACCATTCACGCACACACCACACCTAAGGAGAATTTAGAGAAGCCAATTGACCTAACAGTCACAGGGAGGAAGCTGGAGTACCCAGAGAGAACCCCCACATGCTTAGGAAGACAGAAAGACACCGGGCTGGGAACCAAACCTGGAACCTTCTTGCTGCAAGGCAGCAGTGCAAGCAGCAACTGAGCAGCCCATGGCAATGGCATGGCAATATAACCTCCATAAAGGTTTATTTTGTGCACTGGCTGCATCCTGCAAACTTTCTATGCTGCACTCATCTCTATCTCCTTTCAAGCTTATCTGCTTATTTAATCTGCTCCTGTGTCTTTCCTTCTTTTCTTCCTCTCATTTTTGGAGGGACCAATGACATCTTACCCTGCAAGCAAGATAAGTTGCCCCCAGATTAGTGAATTCAAAAACTCCTGAAAACACGTCTTACCAGAAGCCAGCAGACGCATTATGCATTAGAGATCTGATTCTTAAGAAACGGGTGCAATAAAGTTTGAGAGGTGTTGCCATATATGACGTCATAAGAAGGGCAGGGAAACCGAGCAGATCTGCTACCTACACTGGCCTAAACACCGTCCGAAAAGCGTCATGTGTTTGTTTACATTTTTATTTGCTCTTGTTCCAAATGTATGTCTTTATCGTCTCTGGTTCACTGGTTTTCTGTTCCAACTGTAACTGTTTTATTGCTCTTTGTAATCAAGGTGGAGAAAGTTTAGAGCTTTCTCTGTGTCCTCGTTCTCTTAACACTTCTTTATTTTTTGACACCAAGGGGAGCACCAATCATCAAAAGCTCATTTTATAGGATTATTTTATACAATACATGATAAAGTAGACAGTTATGTTATACGTAACAATTCAGATCCCCCACCGCTGTAAATGCAAGGATCTTAGCGGGTGTTCTGAGCTCACCTGTTAGGATGAAGGGCAGGTGCTGAAGGTGAGAGAACAGGAAGTCCTGGCTGGTCCTCAGATAGCGCATTGTGGGTCCTGATGTGTCTGGGCAGGCGCACAGCTGGTAGATTACCTGGAAGAAAAAAAACATCCATCAAGGTTGTTTAAAGCACTCTGGAATCTGTTGCTCATGTATATGTTTAAGTGCCTGCTTACCTGGTAGCAGAGCTCGGCCAGGTGAGGGGCCTGCTGCGTGAGGACGGGTCCTGATCTTTTTTCAGTGCCTCTTTGCAACAGACTCAGGATGGCGTGCAGGCAACTACGCGGACATCCCAACACACCTGCCACAGACAGAAATCAAAACGTTAACTATCCCCTGAACACAGTCTCAACCACCAAACTCCACAGGTTACCTAAACCCCCCCTCCGCCCACCTGGATCCTGAAGGTTGGTTGAAGAGACGGGCTTCTTGACTTCATAACCCAGAAGGTAAAGCGCCAGGTTGGGCAATTTCAGCTCCAGGGAGGTTATGAGCAGGTTGAGAATGTGGATCTGGGTTTCATGGCGGATTCTTGATACTTTCTTTGGTGGATCAACATCTAAAAACCAACACAATTAGAGTCACTTTGATATTAAGGAGTTTATCTTAGACAGAATTAAAAAGAAACTTAGAAAGGAATTAATCACCATCTTCTCTTTCTGCTCCTTCTTCTGCTTCTTCGTTATCCAAACACTCCACAAATCCAGCCATTAGTTTATCACTAACAGTCTGAACCATAAAGAAACATAGTTAACAGAGTACATTATTTAAATTAATCGGGGGAAATACCAACCACCCTTCTATCTGAAACTGGGGTGGAAGTTACCCTAACAGCCTTCAAATTAAGAGTATACAAATTTTATCTTATGAATGATGAAAAAAAAATGGATGAAAAAATAAAATATAAGTTACAAATTCAAGGTTCTAGTTTTAGAAAATTGGACACTGTAGAAGAGTTGGGCAAACCTGATCATGTGTGAAATCTCCCACCAGCCGCAGCTGAATGTTGGGGTAGTTGGCGATGCGTCGCAGAATCTTGGCACTCTGAAAAGCAGCTTCTGGATTAGAGCTGCTGTGGTAAAGATACCTGAAACAGACCAATCAGAAACAGGTTCCGAGTCTTGATTAATAATACAAACCTCCAACAAGCTAACCAGATGGGCGTCGGCTGCATACCTGGCGATGTTTACGAGGTGGTCGGCTCTTCTGGTTTGAGGACTGACCCCTTGGAATAACTGCTCCAGAGGAGATACGAGAAGGGAGGATTGGCTCTCCCTGAGGAGGTCCATGAACATCACCTCCTTCTGCAGAGCCAGATCCAGAAGGCACAGAACGTGTAGGACAGCAGATTCCAAATGCTTCTTACCTATAACGGGATGATTGTAGGTCATACTCTGAGAACAGCTGCATCTGTATACCTTTCGCAGCAAGAGCGTGTATCTGCTCACCAGGGAAGGGAGCGTATTTGTCCAGCTGGCGAACACCCTCCTCCAGCATGCTGAGGCAGAGAGCCAGCGTGGGCGAGTCATTAAGCAGGTGAAACATGAGGCTGTGACCGGGGGGCTTGTGAGCAGGGACCTGCTCTCCCTGCAGCTCCACCGTCTCCTGGATGAAGTCTGAAGGCTGCGGCTCATAGTCCCGCAGCAGCTTATGGAACACCTCCAGGACAGAATCGGCAACCTCCCACTAAAAAAGCACCATTTTAATGTTATTTTAGTGTTTTTATTAAACAAGCCTGCATTATTACAAGTTAATAAACATGTATCTGAGCTCTATCCAAATTCTGCAGAGGGAACCTTTACCTTCTCGGCTGGACGGCGATATGCTCTGGTGGGGAACGGGAGGAACACAGAGTCACGCAGGAAGTTCAGATAGGGCTGAAAGCCAGGGACGCGCAACCCTGCCCCTAAATTAACAGGGACGCTGCTCTCCACCAATGTGCTGATCAGGTGACAGAAGGCCCGAGTCAGAGGGTACTCTTCACAACTTGACTCGATCTCATTAAGCTCCACCTGAGAACCAAGACCAAAGACCAAATATGCATTTTTAATAGTTAAACACCAAAGATATACAGTGATACAAACCTGGAGGACGACTTACCTCAATCCCTGCTGCTTGTCTCTGTCCTGGGGCTCTAACAGTCTGAAGGATCTACAAAACATACCTTAGTTAAAACAAATTCCCAAAATTCGGCTCCTTTTTACCACATTTTACAAAAAGTCTTTATAGTGTCATGATAAAAATTACAAACACCAAAAAATCACATTCAACAACAAACCTTTATTTCAAACATCCTGTCTGGGAGGTGTAACTAAATCTAAGCTTGTAAAACAAGTTGGCAGGCCTGGTCTTTCTAAACAATGCTCTTTTCTCCCTGCAGCTGTCAGATTATAAAAGGGCCGTATAATAACAGCTGATCATGAGCCGATGGCTTGGAGCTGTGTTCAGGGCCCATTTGCAATCACTACAATAACTCTAAAGGGATTTGGAACGTAAACCAACTTTCCTCTGTTAAATGGTCCCCAAATTGCTTACACAATTTTTATTGCATGTTTCTATGTTAGTTTGTAGTTTATGAATCATTTTAATCGGTGCTATAAACCTAAAGTTTCTCCCTGTGAGAGAAGAGTTATTTCAAAACTGTTACAGGCAAGATGTTTGCAGTTAGTGATACAGTGATATAGTTTATCAGTTATGAGTATAAATCGGAGCAGAAAAAGTAACAAACTGATGTCACTATGAGCTATGGAAGCCAAATAAGTGCATTTCTAAAAAAAAAAAAAAAAACTATATAATTAAAAACAATTACAGATATTTAAAAAAATTACATTCATAAATATAAAATTAAATTAAATAATGAAATCCATTTATCACCCAAACCATTTTAACTAAACCATATTTTAACACACTGGATTTGAAACAAAGTCACAAATGAATTTGTCTTAAAATACTGCTGGTAAAAACATTTTCTAACAGCAGCTTAGCTGTTTTAAAAGCAACAAAGCCATTTCCTACAGAAGTAGTTAAGTCTACCAAGGTTACACAATCACAGATTAAACCGTTTGCCTATTCCTCAAAGTAAAACTACTTCATGTAAGACTAATGAAAGCCTATCTGAACATCTACCACACTGACACGAATATAAGACGACCCCCTCCTTCTAGGACCAGTTTAGGAACAAAACAAAAATACCCGAAAGCAAAAAAGACTGATAAACTAAATTTATTTAGTTCAAGGAAACTATTTTATATTGAAGTGCTACAATTTCCTTGATATTAACATTGCATTGAAAGATTTGTGCAATTAAACTATACTTTTTTTTTTTTTTTTTACACAGTAAGAAACATTTAATTGAAATATTGCAACGCTTCACCTCAAATGCAACCTGAACTTTGCTCACGGCAAAGTTCACGTCTTAAAAACCTGCATAAAGCTTTTCCTCACACACAGACGTCCTCTCACTCTCATCCTGCAGCTCTGCACTTTTCTGATAAGCTTTTCTTTTGCTGATCGAATTTTACAGGTATTTTTGAACGTGCCATCTTCTTACATTGCACTCTGTAAATCGGTATTTCTTTGCTGCCTAACAGGCCCTTGATGCCTCCACTGCGTTGACCACCATTATTTTAAAATAGGCATCATAACTCCGATTTTTGATCCACTATTTTGGCAGCTACTCTCCATTTGTAGCATCCTTGTCACTTCATCTCAGTCGTGATATAGATGACCCCAGCCACAGCGAGGTCTCTGGCTCACAAAAAACTGGCGCCCTCTGCTGTTGCAATCGTTTAGCAACCTCAGACAACTGTCCGCCTGTATAATTGCTTTAGACCCCTATTATAAGACGACACCAACTTTTTACATTGTTTTTAACTATTAAAAAAAACCTGTCATATATTCAGGCTAATACGGTAATTTCAAATCTTGCCATAGACCAGATGCATTTAGCGCTTTGACTAGACCAGTTGTATTATATTTGACTGTGTTAACAATGGTTGTCCTGCTGGGATATTGTGCTGTGACCCATCTGCAGGGTTCCTTGGTCTTCATGATGCTCAATGTTCTCTAAGAACCTCTGTGATCAGAACCAAACCTGCTGCATTTAGGTTGAAATTAAACAACACGTGGGGTGTTCTTTCTGCTTTGTTCGGTGCTGCCACACATTGTTCTGTCCCACCTGTGTGTACTCTAGTGACTGCCAGAGAGACGCTGCAATTTCCGGTGACCGCCCAAAAGCTGCCAGGGAATGAAGGAGCTCAGCCTTCAGGACAGGTGGAACGCTGCACTGCAGTAAACCCAGCATCACTACAACTGGAGTCCACTGTGGGTGTTCACACAGCGCCAGCCGAGCATTTTCACTCTGAAGAGGAAAAACAATTCATTAACAGGATAAAGTATCCAAGGACGTGACCTTCATGAAGGGTGTGTGTTCTATCATACCCAGGTAATTATGGCAGTGATAAGCTGCAAGAAGGCCGTCAGTCCTTCCAGCTCCCTTTGGGTGATTCCCCTGAGCGGAGGGTGGCGGTAGTGAGCAGAATCGGGATTGGGGAGGTCTCGTCGCAGGTTCTCGTGGTACAGCATGAGGGAGTGGAAAAAATGTTCCCAGGACACAGGACTTCCTGAAGCTCCCTGAATGTTGTCACCTGTGCACAGGATTAGATGGTCCTCAGTGGAAAACATGTCCCTACTTTATATATATATATATATATATATATATATATCATCAGAATCTAAAACACAGTAAGAGCAGCTTTACTGGAGAGAAAGGGGAAACTTAATGGGAAGTAAAAAATAAATAAAAGATAAATATGAAGAAAATGTTCTGGCTGTTTTCTTTGAAGATCAGATGATTCTAATGGATCGGGATCAGCAGCATTCAAACATAACCAAGTTTTACTCAGAAACTTTGCATGTATGATAAAAAGATTTACTCCTATAAAAGGTCTGCGGGAATAGAAGGGCTATATGGTGCATCTCTGACTTTTATCAGTTAACCGTTCCTTCACTTCAGGCTGTTTTTCATACAGGACTAGGGATTCACCATATTTTTATTTTACCAGCTCATCCAGTATCAGACTTACTGATGATTCATAATTCAACAGGCTAACAACCCATACCGGTATTTTCTCTCCCTACACCTATTTACAAGTAGCTGTCATTTCAAATAGCAGTTCAACTAATGGTTTCTGTCACTTTATAAACATTTACACCACCAACATCTTTACTTCAACATCCTTCATGTGGCAGACGGATGAAGTAGTTGGAAGCACAGCACCTGCTTCCACTACAGACATAATGCTCATTGTTAAACAAAAAAAAAAAAAGAGCCTTTTATATAGATGTTTTGGAAACGACCGACATCCCATCTTATATTGGAAAGCTAATATCATGCATCCATATGCAGAATGAGATCTAAAAACTAAACTGCATAAACACTCTGTTAGGATAACAAGTCTTCCAATCCTTCCTCAGTGCGGCTGCAAAACAAAGATAAAAACAAACACATAAGGACTAAGAAAAAATGCAAAACTAATTTCCTTTTTAAAGGAAATAAAATATATGGGTCTTCCTTACAGCTGCCTCAGTTAACCTTGGATGTCACCCATCAGCAGGTGCATTTCCTTTCAGAATAATCTGTCTGCATGACATTTAGGACTTCCATTCTGCATCAGATAATTTCTGAGAATCCTTTAATAATCTCAAACATTTAAGACGTCTTTAGGTTACAGTTCAGTTTGCAAACCATTAGAATATGATTTCTATGCCTGAGCCTTGATGTTACACAGGATGGTCAGGTACAGTTGGGTAGGACCAAAATAGTTATGTGATATAGGCTTAGTCTGCTTAGTTATTGTATATACAAAATATAGTCATGCTTACTATAGAATAGAAAACTTGTGCCTTATTGGTTACTCAGCTGTGAAAAGAGAGGAAGGCGGAACCACTGCACTGACTGTGCAGGCAAGACACTCTTTGAAACCGTACAGCTCACAGTGAGCTCTGAGCCAGGCCGCTTCTGGCGCAGTGATGCATGCATCTGGTAGCAGTAATATTTATTACTGTCTGGTTTCCTTTGGGCTCAAGTCAGTTGGCTGAGCTGGATTTCCGATTTATACATTAAATGTCAACCAAACTAAATTAGCTGTGATTTCAACATATAAAATCATCAAAAATTATTAACTGCATTAAATTATGTAAAATATTATTTCCATTATGTCATTGATAAACTTTTTTCAAATAATGAACAGTTGGATCTTACTGTGAGCAGCGCCATTAGTTTTAAGAAGGCTGAAACAGTAGTGAGCGGACTGTGGACCATTGGCGAGGCCTTTCAGCATGCAGAGATAAGGAATGTAGAGGGTGGAGGGTAGAAGGTCTCCCATCTGACGCACAAACTTCGACAGGACCACCTACATCAAAGAGCAACAGCAGAAGAGCAGAAGAGGAAATCCTCAGTAATACACTATCAGAAATATTCTTACTGCTGGCCTCTAAAGCCTTACCTGTTTATGAGGAGGCCTTTGGAGGGCCATGCCAAGGTAGGAACCCTGCAGCGAGGTGTGCTGGAGAGACTCTGTGGGACACCAGAACTCCAGACCCAGTTCTAATCCAAACGGATCTTTGCTGTAAAACTCTCCAATCTGAGCATAAACAAAAAATCCCCAAAATGAGCAGCCATAGAGAAGCATTTTCATCACACCAAGTCTTTTAATCTCACTCCATTAAACAGATGATGAAATTCAAAAGCATGAGGGGGGGTTGGACTTTAGTTCAAAGTTTATTTTGCAAAGACTCACCAACACCATGAGATGGTCCAAGTCTTTCCGCAGAGATGATGGAAGTTCTCCATCCATCTGCAGAGACATGTGCACCAAGCGGGCATCTTCATCAGCGCGGTTACGAAGCTGCTTGACCTGCAGTGAGGAAAAGAAAGGGAGTTAATATGGATTATTTTCAACACGTAGTTGAATCAGTGGTTAACATAATGAAAATGGACTAAGAAACAAACCTTCATTGGCATCAGTGCGAGGAAGTCTGTGATGAGCGAATGAAGGCGGCGGATGTAAAACTCTTCCTGGGAAAAACTGTCGCATCCCAAGATTCCCTCCTTCATGAACAGGAAGACGTCTCCCAACAGAGCCTGATCCGTCAGGGCCTCGTCCGCTTCAGTGAATTCAACAAGGGCTGCGTAACAATAATGAACACCAATGTTCCATCAACCCACAAGCAGCTATACCTTTTTCTACTTGTTCAAATTCCACACATTTACACTTTAAATGTTCTTCTTTTTTAGCCCATTTAAGGTAAAATTACAGGGGGGTTTTTTTATATGAAGCAAATATCTTTACTGCTGTCTGGCTGGAAGGAGGGAAAGAAAGGAAGGACAAACTTTTGGATGGATTGTACCTTCATCCATCATTCCTGTCTGTCCATTTTGAACCATCAATTATTTACCCTCTTTTCCTACCTGATTTCTAAAAAACATTATTAAATAATTGATAGGATTGAGGGATGGGACGTTTAGACGCATGTATGAGAGAGAGTATAAAAATCAGAATATTTTCTCATCCCTTTTTCTTTTCCACTTATTCAGACTTGAAAAATGTGCAATTTCCAAAATCTTTTCAGGAACCAGAAACCTATTTCTGTAGGAAGTATAAGACATTCTAGACTGACCTGCTCCCTGTGGTAGCTGAGAAAGGACTCGGAGAGCCAAAGCCCAGGCAAGTCGACACACAGCCTGCAGGCCTGGAAGCTTCCATGGTTGGCTGTCCATCAGACGGCTGTGGACCGCAGCAACATACTGCCTCTCTGTCAACAACGGTAGAGCCTGGAGAAGATCTGTGGGAACACATCAACAGATCGAGCTGTCAGCACTACAGCAGCCGGTGTTATTTAGACTTTATTTCAAAAAATGGATTTAGCCATTTTTCCCATCACCTTCTCTGTCTTCGGTTCCTTGCTCTATAAAGCTGACATCCAAACAGTAGAGCAGAGCCATAACCAAAGCAAGGCTCACACTGTCCAGTGAACCGTCAGCCTGAGCTGTCACCGTCTCGAGATGACCAATGAGAGCCAAGGTGTCATCTTTAGTTAGTGGCGACTGACAGGTCCATGAAAACAAGCTGTCTGCCAGCGCCTGTCGACATTCTTTGATGAGATCAGAAACCTGAAGCAGGGAGAGAGAAAGTATTCAGCTTATCTGTAGCTCTTCCTCTCCAAATCAGCATTTCCACTCTTAATAAAAAAGCCAGAGGAGTTTCAGGAATAATAAATACATTTGATGATTATTGTTAATGCTTCGGATTATTAAAGGAGATTTGTTCACACCTCTTTTCTGTGCTTTTCGTTTCCCAAGCCACGTTCTTTCTGCAGCCGCTCAAACTCCCGCGTCACGCTTATCTCTGACACCAAAGTGAGAATGCGTTTGGTAAGTCCCTGGCTCATCAGCTCATCTGTAAAACGGGTTGTCAAGCCCACCAGCTCCCCACTGTATGAGACAATTGATGTCATGCCATTAGGAGACTTACACAGGTCTAAGGAAAAGCAGTGACAGAAGTGCTCATCGAGGGGCTTTTAAAAGTGTTTTTCATTGTGCAAATATTTCACCATCATGCGTTACCTTAAATCCAGAGTGAAGGTCTTGCCATGACGTGACTGGATGAGTGTGCGAAGAGAGTTGGCCACGCAGAGCTTTCCATCCCAGTAGAGTAACACGGCCACCAAGCCTCTCGTGAGGCCGGGGAAATGAGGCTGTTGTTGTTCACCTGGGGAAGGTGGTGTATTTTATAGGGTTGTTCTGTGTTTGCATTTAACATTATCAAAAAAAAAGAAGTGTTGAGTGACCTGACATTACCTGCCAAGAGAAGCTCCAAAGCTGCCAATTCTCCGATGTCGAACAAATCACTGAGGATGAAGGCCTCAGTAAGAAGCTGTTCCGGAAGGAGCCGAGAACCCTGCTGACCTTGGATGGCGATGCCTTCTGTGCTGGCTTTACGGACCTTTTCCCTCTGCTCTGGACTTTTGGGCTAAAAATGGCAAAAAGGCCATCATTTTTTGACAATTTCTGCTTGGTTTTCTATCATTTAATTTAATCACACTAAGGAATTAGAAAAAAACAGTGCCAGAATAAAATCTCCAGACATTTAAATCTAAAACATAAACACTTTTTAAAGTTGGCCTTTAAAAAGAGCAAGACCATATCCTCACCGGATTCTTAAAAAGTGAGAGAAAGTGTGGTTTGTGTTTCTTCAGCTGCAGATCCAACAGGTGGACGGTCTCTGGTTGTCTTCTCAGTATGGCCCCATCTACAGTTTCCCAAAGCTCTTTGAGTGGCCCCCAAAGACTGGCCCCTGAGTGAATAGAAAAATTCATTACTCTGCTGTGTTTGCTGCTTTACTTCTTAAAGCCATAAAACATTTTTACTCAGCCTCCAAAGAAATCAGATTTCTCAAAACCTGATGAAATAATGTTCAACTGCATTATTGTTTAAAACTGCAACATCGGTATCAGCTGGAATTCAGGTAAATTTTACCCTATTGTGTGTTTGTTTTCCATCATCACGATTAAAAACAAACAAAAGAAGTCAATTAAACTGGCTGGAAGTTAAATAATTTGCAGTTTAGGCTTTAAACAGCCATATAAGATGATGATGATGAGCAGCAGCTTTTCAGCTGCTCCTTCATTCAGGGGTTGCCACAGCAAGACATTACAGGATACTTACATGCTCACCATATATAAAAACCCATAATCGACAACAAGGGGCAAGTGGTGTGTGCAAAGTGTAAAATATCTTTAACTGAATGACATCAGCAATTAAGGATTGGACTCACAGTTTCCCAACCAAAAATTTGTTGATCACCTGTAGCAAAATACTGAGTGACATTTTAGAAATTTAGAAGTGAGTAGTCTCTAATGTAACAAGTAATTAAGTGGTTACCTTACATATGCAAAAAGCACCAAACAAAAACTTTTGTACAGACAATCCTTTAAGGGTCTGTATATGGTATAATCAGTATGTATCCAATCAATACAGGGAGTGGCGGCCTAGTGGTTAGGGCATAGAAAAAGCTTGGAATCCTGAGGTTCGAGCCCCACTCCCACACACTGTCACTCTGAGTCCCTGAGCAAAGACCCTTAACACCACACTGCTCGCCGGGCGCCGCACAATGGCAGCCCAATGCTCCCAAAAGGGATGGGTTAAATGCAGAGAGTTCTTTTTTTTATGCACCTGTGACACTCTAATGACAGTAAAAGCTGGAAAAATACTGCAGGCAAGTATGTTATGAACCTTAGAGATGTCTTATACAGCAACTCCAAAAAAATGTCAATGTTGGAAATGCATTATCTTCTTTAAAACTGATTCAATTAAAATATATTTTGGTTATTACAGTATATTATCTATTTATTTTCCTCTGTAACCTAAACGCTGATTAAAGAAATAAACAGCACAAATAAATGTAACAATTTGTTTTTTCTAACCACAAAAGGATTGACATTTTATGAAGAATGTTTCTGAATATTACTGTTGCAGTATTAAACAAAGGGGGGTCAATATACGATTGTGGATGTGAAGAATATTTCACTTTGGATTAAACGTTTCATGTTTCTATGTAAATTCGGACACACAGCACATCAAAGTCAAAATAGTGGAAAATTAAACAACTATCTTCGTGTTTGACTTACGTACCTGATAGTGGATTTATTTGTACGGTATTTTTTAGTACATTTCATATAAGAAAAAACATTTTGACACAAACATCATCTGAATATTTTCTCAGCTCTCATTTACACAGGGCTGTTGATAAATATTAGCACTTAATAACTGTTACTACCATTTAGTTTCAAATGTACGTTCCAATTAGACGAACTTGTCACCCCAACTACTGCTAAACAAATGTCTAATTTAAGTGGACATACTATTTCCCTTTATAGTGTGTCATGAAAAGTGACAGCATTAATCTGCTTTCTATACACCAACACGCCATAAGTAATTAGCTAAGCTAGGCTAAAATAGGCTATCTGCAAGAGCCATGCAAAAGAAGCATATAGAAACTAATATAGACGGATTAAACATTATATTTGTAAGCATTTATATGTGACATAAAACACAGACACCAAAAAACAGACTTAAATACAGCAAAAAAATAAAAATAAACACCATTACCTGAATTTACCGCCATCGGCGCGGCCATGATGCAGTCAGAAATGCTCTGGAAGCAGGTTTTGTGTTTGTGCCGGTGTAAAATATAACGTGATAAAAAAAAATGTACTTCCACATAATTATCTAAACAAAAAAATCGTTTAATATAATATATGTATATGCGTGTTCAGCTACTTTGTTATTCTGATATCTTAAAAGTTTCCGTGTAATTTTATTTTTTAAAGCAGGCGGGGTCTTCGCAGTTTGGAGACCGTCCATGAACCACTACCTGACGGGAAATGTAGTTAGCATGTCCATACATGGAAAACAACATAGGAATAAAATTCAGATTAGTGTTACGATTTACAAAATTGTATGCCAGTTATTATTTTGTTTAAAATAGAATTTTAATAATTTGTAATACCGGTTTGAATAAATTGGCTTCTAACATGTGTCACGAACATTAGTTCCGGGTTGTTTTAGCCCGATTGCTTTTGGCGTTACACCGCCATGTCTGTGACCGCTGAATTAAAATAAGCAGTTATGCCTTTAAATTGAACCCATCTGATGCCTCACTGACAGTGCAGGGCTGGGGTTGTTATTTTTACAATGGCTCGGGTTGTTAAAGTGTTTCGGACTTTGAGAAATCACTGGAAGAAATCCACGTTTGCTGTGTGCGTCTTGTCCTATGGGGGGTACTGGCTGTATGGTAAACACTGGTGGGTTTTAGAGCTGTTTAACTGTAAGTTTGAGTTGATTAATTGATTATTAAAACCTATTGAATGGTCCATCTTGTGTATTTCTAGTGACAGCATGGTGCGCAGAGAGGCCTGTCTTATAGCCAGGGTAAGTTCAAGTTGTTTTTTTTTTTTATATAATCTATTTGAATTATCAAAGCTAAACAAATGGTGCTATAAATTCTGATCTGCATTCCCTTGTCAGGAGTTTGGACGCCAGCAGATAGCGCCTCAGGAGCGACTACAGAAAGCAACTGTTATTCTGAACCCTGCAGCTTGTAAAGGGTAAGAATTTTTTTTTTTCTTCCCCATTCATCTGGCCTTCAGCCTGGGCTGCATAATGGAGCAGTGGGTGGCACTGCTGCATCAAGAAGGTTCCGGGTTCGATTACTGGTCCGAGATCTTTCTGAGGGAGGAGTGTTGGACTAGTGGCTACAGAAGGTTGCAAGTACTTGGTTTGATCCCCACAGTCTTCACTCTGGCTATTTGAGCAAGACCCTTAACCCCACACTGCTTCCTGGGCGCTGCACAATGGCAGCCCACTGCCCCCTAATTGGATGGGTTAAATGCAGAGAGTTAATTTCTCCAGTGTGAGATCAATAAAGTTCAATTATTATTATTAAGTCCATTCTTACTGTGAAGGAGCCCTGATTTATGGGGGAAACAGATATGCAACCAGATACCTGATCTACATTTTGAATTTTCTCCAGGAAAGCCAACAACTTATTTGAGAAGAATGCCGCTCCAATTCTACATCTGGCCGGTGTGGAAATTACTATAGTAAAGGTATTATTTACAGCTTCTGTAATTCTGTATATATGTTTTTGTCTCCAACTTCTAACCAACGTGTTACGAAACCCTCCTCAGACAGACTATGAGGGTCAGGCTAAAAAACTGATGGAGTTTATGGAACAGACAGACATGCTGATTGTGGCTGGAGGAGACGGCACGTTGCAGGAGGTCATCACGGGTTTACTGCGCAGGCCGGACCAGGTAGGTTTGACAAAGTCAGGAGAATAAATCTGTTATCACGGACTAAAATGATTCTTCTGATACCAGGACGTCTTCAGCAGTACACCAATTGGATTCATTCCTTTGGGTTCCCATAATTCTCTGAGTCAATCTCTTCATTTCCTCAGTGACAATAAAGTCAAGTAAGTAATAACATAATCATAGCAAAATTCTGCATAAGGAACAATTTCATAATTTAGCTTTGATTATTTTATTTATATATATATATATATATATATATATATATATATATATATATATATATATATATATATATATATATATGCTTAGCTCATTCCAGACTCTTGTTGGAGCATAATCGCATACAGGGAAATGATAAAAGGTCTATTTGATACTCAATACCATTTTTTATACTATTTGGAGAGAAAAAAGACAAATAATTAAAGGCATAAAAAATATTTTATTATCTTAGCAGGGTCACATCTTCTAGCTAAGTAAGTGTTCAAATAAATAAATACATTAAAAAAAACGAGATAAGTATAAGGTTATCAAATTTTATTCTTTTATTGTGCAAATAATCAAAAAACATAAAATAATCAGTAGCTAAAATATGCAAGCAACACTTTACTATTGATACCATGACTAATTAGCATCATATCCAAATACAGCATTTGAGTATCAATATTCTGTATTCATATTCCAAATCTCTGCTCCGTGTGAAACTTTTAGAGACATTACAGCAGCGACGCTGTCCATTCTGAAAGGGGAGACGGTACCTGTGGATGTGCTTCAAATCCAAGTGAGAAAGACTTAGTTACTCATTTTACCGGTTTAAATAACTTCCTCTGTTTCTTTACTTTATTCGGGGTCAAAAAAAGAAAAAGATAACTGAATGCTTATTAAAAAAAATTTTACGTCACTGTGACCTTTTATTTCATCCAAAGCTGAAATTTCTTTGGCCTTTATGTGTTTTGCAGGGAGAGAAGGAGCAGCCGGTCTTTGCTCTGATTGGACTACGTTGGGGGGCTTTTAGAGATGTGGCTGCAAAGATCAGCAAGTAAAAAGATCCAGATTGCTACAGATATTCTGAGTCACAGTAACCAAACAATGATTCACTATAATGTTTTTTCCTGTCAGATATTGGTACCTTGGACCACTGAAGACAAACGCAGCTCATTGGTTTCACACCCTGAGGGTAAGGCTCCACCATTACTGAAGAAAGCTGTCACCATCTTTCTCCACTGTGTTTTCTTAGGGTAGTCCAACACAAAGCACTACTATATATTCGTCTTGTTTTATGACCAGAGTGCCTTCTCCTACATGTAGAACCTAAAGGTGAACTTCTAGTAAGTTTTCTCTTAGCAATGGCTTTCTTAATCTGTTTTTCCTTAAAGGCTAGATTTATTTAATTTAAAGAGACAAATTACCTCCTCAGAGTTCCAGTGATCATCTTTGCTCCTTCTTGATGAATGTCCTCCACCTCCAGACTGTCAGGCTAGATGGATGTCCATCCTTCTCTCATTTTCAGACAGTTAGAAAACAGCTCTCAGGGGATAATCCTTCTTTAAACTTAACCAGAGCTTTCTCCCTGACCTTTCTGCTGTAACTCCTTATGATGCAGGTTGTTTTCTACAACAGAAGTTCTCAAACTTTCACAAGTGATGGTTTATTGAGGCATTGATACTGTCTCACAGAATACTGACACCTGCTGGACCTTTAAAGACACTACAGGCAGCTTATTTGACAGAAACTGACACTGATTTGATGACCTAGTACAATGATATAATCTAAGTTATTGTAGGTTATATTGTATTGTTTCATATCTATGTTTAAATTGAAAATATCTCGATTTTTTTTTTTTTTTTTAGATGCAGCCAATAAATAATGTAAACGTATAGCATGACGGGAACATTTGGGGGAAATTTGAATGAGGATGCTTGTGGACTAGGATTTTAAATCATATTTTTAAAACAATAACTATAGTAAAAACAGTAAATAAACTAAGTGTCAATTTGAAATTAACTTTAATTCATATAAGTTGAGGGATAACTGAGAGGAAAAGTATAACATGAGGAAATTGAAATAAAAAGGCAACAGCAGATTCCTATTCCTTTTAGGTTGCTCCAAAATTCTTGATAACTTTAATGATAAACTGCAAAAGATGAGACATTTTTAGCAGATGCATCGTGTGGACAGATTTTTTTAAATACAATTTAGTGTGTCGTTCAGTTAGAAACAACTCTTGTATCCATGTACCGTCTTTTTTCTTTCCTTTAGTCATGCTCTACTTTGTGTTGGTCTATCAGATCAAATTAAACTAATCTATTGAAGTGTGTGGTTCTATATATGGTTCTGAAAAATTTTGCCAAAAATTTTTTTTTAACCAATATTGCAATTTATTCTTTATTTATATTAAATTGTATTACCATTGCCTGAAAAACTGTTTTTTTTTTCTACTTGCATGCATGAATCTGTACTCTTGCTGTATCTCTCTCTTTCCTTCTGTTGTGGCAAAGCCTGTCTCCCACTATTGTTAAAAGTAATGTGACCAAAACTGAGTGCTTCTGCGATTCGATGATTGCCTTTTGTTTCACTGTAAATTACGGCTGAAACATTTAATCAGATTAATCCTAATTAATAGATTATTGAAATAATCTTCAAATAATTTAATAAATCATTAATTGGTAACTGGAGTACAGAGAATGTAAAATATGCCTTTAGCTGACAGAGCAACCCACTTAAAGCAGGATTATACAAAAATTTAAAAAGAAATGTGTAAACATTTTTCATTTAAGATTAAGAATCTTTTTCATCTTGTCAGAATGCACCATCCAGAACTCCTCAAGCGTAAAAGTTTTATTTTCACTTGGTTTAATTTTGCAAAAAGTCTTCTTTAATAAACCTTTGGCTTTCTGATTTTTAATAAAAATTAAAATCGATTTGCACCGTAATCGTGAGTTGCAGCGCTAACTAATGTAAATACAATTAAATTCTTGCTGTAGTTCTGTCCTTCCATGATGCTCTATTGCAATTTTGCCCTGATGTGTATGTTTTGCAGGAGTGGCCTCTGGTCCAGGACGTCTCGGTTTCTTTCTTGGCTCCCACACTTCGGCCCCCGGATCTGGCACCTCAGAAGCCCCCCAGGCCTAACCTACTGTACCGCATCATCCGCAGACTTAAGAACTACTGGAACCCTCCAATTGAAGGTAGGTAGATATTATTATGTTGATGCTAAACCTGCAGGTTTCCAGTATGCTAACGGTGAGTGAGCTTATGTCGCATGTTGGGTCCGTTTGCTCAGAGCCTCCAAAATCAGAGGAGCCAGAGAAGTGGGAGGAGCAACAGCTGTCTACATCAGAGCTTTATATTCAGACCCACAACAAAAATCCAGTAGAGAGGGTCAGTAGAACATTCTTTTTTTAATCTTTTTATAAAGACATTTATAAAGACAAAATTCACATTTTTAATGTGTGAATTCATAGCGGATGAATGACTCCTTGATGGTCTGTGCTGAGCCAGAGAACCTCACCGTGGGCGAGTTCATCTCCATGGGGTCAGTGGCTGCAGCGTTTCATCTCATGCCATGGAGAACAGATCCAAAGTATCCATGTTTATTTATGCAAATATTGTTTCCCTCAGGAATAAAAAGGTGAAGGATCCAACGCTTTTCACTGAGAACTCTACAAAACTGGAAGCCAGTGCTTGCCAGCTTAAGCTGCCAGAGGTGAGCAATTCTTGTGATCCACCTTCATGTCAGAGCAGATCTCATCGAATGTGATTTAGTTTCTAGTGTTTGTTAATTTTTGTAAAATTCAGTGGGCATTAAAGTGTGTGCATGGTTCCTGCAGGGCAACGCCGGCTTCTATAATATTGACAATGAGGAGTATGAAGCGATGCCCGTAGAGATACGGCTGTTGCCACGGAAACTACGCTTCTTCATCAGTGCGGAGCGCAGAGAGCAGCTCGCCTCACAGCCGCAGTGATACAAAGCGTCAAGAAGGAAGACGTGGGAAAAACAAGGAGCCATTTTCAGGATGGATTTTCTATTCGTCTGAATCGTTAAATGACTTCAACAAGCTGGAGATTATTAAACGTTAATCAGGCTTTTTTTATTCTTTAGATCTGTTTTAACCTGCTTACATGTTACATAAAAATATGTTGATGCTAAAAGGACCACAATTTTTCTGTGTGAAACTAAATATATTGCTTATAATTTACAGAAATTTACTGATAGGTTTACAGTAGTCGTCTAGACTGAAGGTTGATCAATAGAATTCTCCTCTGTCCAATTCTATGCATGTACGGATGAATGGTTTCAGCTATTATCTGATTAAATAAAAAAAGTGCAGGAAAGCAGTTAAGTTAAATCTTTTTCTCAAGCGGTTTGGAAAAGAGGAAGGAGCGAGTTGGGCTAAAAGAAAAGGGGAGAGAGAAGAAGGAACTTGGATGAGGAGGAGCTGCTTGGCAAGACCGGCCCTGATCTGACAGATGGTGCAGGATTAGGATGCAGACTGCGCTGCAGGTCTCCATTTATTGATCTCTTTAGGAAAACACAAATTGATGCTTAAATCCTAAAATAATTTAATTCCTAATGTCTGAGTTTACAGCCTCATATCATTAGCACTTTTTAAACAACTATGAGTAATTCATGTATTCAACACTTTGACCCATTTTATTCAGGAGGGATCGTGGAGGGATCCAGGTGAGCAGGATTCCCCTCCATCACTTATGTATTGGCAGTATTATGCTGTGGGGTTGTGGGACTTAAAGAGGAACTGGGTAAAAGCTGAGAGGAGGATAATATAATGGAGATTTCACAACTAAAGCTGCGTTCACAATGCAGGTCTTAATGCTCAATTCGGATTTTTTTGTATAATCCAATTGTTTTGCATGGTTTTTCATGTAGCTAAATAAATGCAACTTTTATATGATCACCTGTGTGAACTGCATTCACACAACCAAAGGGTCACAAGCGAGTGTGCTCTGTGTTTACGGACGTAAACATGTATATTAGTGCTGGAGCGCATCTAGCAGTCCTTCATTCCCAACCCCAGCCAGTGCATTAACAATAATTAAGAGGCTTATGGAGAGTAGTTATAATGGTTGCTTTTAAGAGGGTTGGAAATAAAGACTGCCCTCTGCATTATCGTCCACCATGGTTGTTTTTTTCCCCTTTCTGCGCAGCAAGATGCAGAACAGTGACCTTTGTTGAATATAAATGATGTTCAGGTCGGATAAATGCGACCTGGCTGTTCAGGCAGGTCACAATTGAAAAGGTCAGATTCGTATCAGATTCAGGACCACATATCCAAGTGGCCTAGGTTGCATTGGAAAAAATCGGATCTGTGTTGTTCAGACTGCAGTGAAAAAAATCCGATACAGGTCGCGTATGGGCAAAAAAATTTGGATTTGGGTCACTTCAGGCTGCAATTTATTCCATTTAACTATAGCTGCATTCCTCTTCTTCTTTCGTTCTGAAAGGAAAACCTCTTTGTTGTGCATTTAAAGACATTTTCTCTGGTTTCTGCCATGACTCCTGGAGAAATAACTCCAGAATAAAGGCTATGAACATGGACCTCAACTCTGGGAGTGGTCATGATTCTGAGAGGCTCTGAATGCCAACCTCTCCATGATGTGAGAGATGAAAACCCCCTGAACAAGCTCTACCAGATGTTGTAAATCACTTTTACCAATCTATTTGGTTTACTAAGCAGACCGGATTAAAACCCCTGCGAATTGGAGCGGCGATGACGACGGAGGTCCCTGCAAATTTCTGCTGAAATGAAATATTCACTTCTTTAATACATGTGGAGTTTGCTGTAAAAAATACAAAAAAAACTTTTATGGTTAGAATCTTGGACTTTAATAGCACTGAACTAGAATCAGCATTTCTTGTTTTACAGTGGAGCTGAAAGGTAATCATGCTGTTGGTCTTTGTGTAGATAAGTAACCATTTACTGTGTTCCACATTAGATGAGGCGTCACTGCTACTTGGTGATTACGATGCAGTGGAGATAAAAAGCTGCCTAGATGCTGTGGCATGGCTGCAGTACCTCTGCTGTCTTTGACATTCAGTATAGTGTGACACTACCCTGTGAGTTAAGCTGATGCCCATCCGCATCTGGGAATATTCCCTCCAGAAAGGCATTTTGTACAGTGGTATGTGTGTTTACATTCCCTTTACATTATATCTGCTGAGGAAAAGCTTTCAGAGGAAATACATATCTGCTGATGTATAGAGTGAAGCACCTATTTCAGCATATAGAAATAAAAAAACTAAACACTTTTCTGTCAATGTCAAAAAAAAAGTACAATTTAAGGCCCCAAATTTGAAATAAAGCTTAATTGCCACTTTGTTTTCCAACTCTTAGTGCATTTCCTTCCCCATTACAAACTCAAAAGACAAACAGGCATACAGTCCAAATACAGCTTCTACAACATTAGATCAGGAATTCAAATATTCTAAACAACAAAAAGATTTCAGTGAAATGTTTAAGTACGAACATTTAGTTTATTGTTGGACCATTAGAGAGTTGAAATCCTGGAATAAATGATCATGGTGAAGATAATGAGCTTCCTGTGTTCCAACATGGAACAAATTAGAACTGAAATTAGCAATACGACCGAAGAAATGAACGCCCCATCCGTTTCTGAAGTTTAATCTGATTAATGGGAGCATTAATGAAGAACATCATAAACTAGGGGACAGGTGACTCTGCCTAAAGTTGCTGTATAAAGTCAAAAACTATGAGCTAAGAGGAGTCTTAGTCTTCCTAGTTTATCGGGTAACCAGCTAGAAATGGCTCCTTTGAGTCTTAAAAGGTTATATTTAAGGATGAACTAGTGTGAGTAAAATATCCGGTGTTCAACAGAGTGCAGCATTCAGCGCATGTGGTGCATGTTCACTAAAACCCTCTAAATATAACAAAAGAGGAGCTCTCTCAAACAAACCAATACAACTACATGTCCCAGAATGCACCTATCCCATAGTCTGACAGACATGAGCAGACAGGATCTGTGGTGAAAGTGCATAAAGCTTATCATACCAATTAACAGCATGTTTTCCCCATCTCGCACCGTGTCAGAAGTTTACATACAGTCATTACGGGCATGAAGTTCATATTTACACAGAATCTGAATTAAGGGAGTTTTCTCATCTAGTCGCAAGTAAACATAGAAGGTCAAATACAAACATGTATCATTAATAATAGTTTGGTCACAGACCTTAAGTAAGCTGCTATGAAACCACCTGTATTTTGCAGCTGACATAAAGCTAGAGGCACCGTCCTCTCCTCCAACCCAATAGGCTAGAGCTCATCTAAAGAGGTTCACAGGGAGGTTTACTCCAAGCTGACTCAGATGTTACTGACCCAAAAAAAAAATAAAAATACTGACCCACTAAACCTAAACACAGGAAACTGTGCCCAAACTGTAAAGCATGGTAATGGCAGCATTATACTGTGAGTGGATAAAAAAAATGAAAGAAAAAGGCTACTTCAAAGGTCCTCAACTTCATCCCAACAAAGACTGCTGGATGGTTGAAACTTAGACATCGTTGGGTCTTTCAAAAAAACAGAGTCCAAAACAAATCAGAGGTTCTGATGAAGAACTTCCCCTCTTCTCAGGGATTCTCTTCCCTGAAAACAAACCAGTTTTTATTGGACTCTGAAAAACCTGAACAGACAGTGTTAAACTATCCATACAAAGGTCAGGTGAAGCTAGGTAAGAAACCTTTACTCGGGTGCCGCATAAATGTTTGTATTTGACTCAAACTGGAAATAAGGAAAGTTCACAGTACATCTGAAACAACTTATTTCTTTAAAAAAATGGAAATGGATCTTGTATTATTAGACTGCTCCAGGCAAAGAAGTACTCAAACATGTCCTTAAAAGCTCACAATGAATCATATTCATGGCCCTCATGACTGAATGCAAGCTTCTAATCGGTGCTGCAGGTCTGTAATAATTACCTCTTCCAGTTATAAAGTAGAAATCACACTCATTACATCCTCAGCTCTGGGGATAGCAGCCGTAAAAACAGGGAGGAAATGTGTTTGTTTTTTTGTCCTCGTATTGCTTCCTTTCTGAAAGGAAAATTAAGTCTTTACTATTTTAATTTGGTTTATCAGAACCAGAGGAGATCAAGGTCATAGAGCTGTGAAGAGGTTGAAGTCCATTTAATATTCAGTGAAAGGAATTCAATGCACAATAATCCGTTTCTATGCGGGAGAACCTTGTTCCAAACACGACAGCATTCTTCAGACAAAGCAGTGGTGGACACCCGAGCCGCAGGGCGGTGAATATCGTGAAAACAAGACCATGATGAGACAATCATCCAGCGGTGAAGACTTGATCTCAGCCAGAACCTCTGACCCAGTCTACCAGAATCCAGGTCAAACTAGAGGAGCTACATCTGCATGTGCATCAGCTGGTCTTCAGCCTCTTCTGGCCACTGAGTGTTTAAATCACCCACAGTGGGTTCTCTCCACAGGTCCAGAAACCCAGAGGTGAACAGCAGACAACATATTTAAACTCCCTGATGGAGGCAGTGTTTCCAGTGTATCGGTGTGTGGTGGGGGGGGCCTGATGTTCACTGGCACCCTGCTGGTTTGTCAGAGGCAGGCGAGCTCAGGAGCAGCAGAGGTTGTCTATGACAAGTGTGACGTCGATACCGTACACCTCCAGCAGGTCCTCCAGGAAGGAGCGGTCCCCCTGGGGATCCAGCCCCATGGCCCTCATGTGATCAGCAGTGATGGTGGGATCGGAGCTCCCTGCCACCTCAGCCAGAGTTTGGAAGATCCGGTTGTTCAGCTCCATGAAGAACCTGGGCCAGAAGGTTTGGAAAATGAAAGCATTAATAAGGATTAAAATAATCAAGGTGTGTCCTCGAAAGAATAAAACCTGAAAAAGAACGAAGATATCGCTTTCCTTTAACAAACAAGGCACCCTTTGGCAGCTGTGATCAAACTACTTAAGGACTCACAAAATGAAAAGATCCTCTTCGTTAGCCGTGCAGTCTTCCTCCACCTCCTGAGAGTACAGCAGCATTTGTCTGGAGAAGGTCAAAGAGAGAAAGATCAGCTTTTATTGTGACAAAATCCAGGAGTGTTTATTAAAATGATAACAACAGAAAAATGCACAAAACATCCATCTCTTCAGGCTTTTATTCCTAAATCCATCTTTGCGCCTGTCTATCCATCCATGATCAATAATCTTTATTAGAATGCACATAAATACAAAACACCAAAAAATTCATAAAGGCACAAAGGAAAAGTGGATCACTTATAGCAGCTAAGGGCATCTGTGAAGAGAAGTGTAGAAATATCTAGATTTTACATAGAGTGCAGCCAGAGCTAGAGCATTGTTCATGAACCTGACTATTTTGTGTCTAAAGGAAGGCGGCTGCTTTCACAGTTCTGGGAGAGAAGCTGTTTTTAGGGCCTATTTGTTCTGGATAGAATGTTCCTGAATCTTTTTCATTATGGAAAATTGGACAAAGACCCATAAAACGGATGGATGGGATCTATAGAAATCTGTCTGGTCGTTTTCTAGATGTGTAACTTTAAAGGTAGAGTGGAGGATGTTCTTTTTATGGGTGGATCATTAAAATAAGTGGTCCTCCTAATTGTCAATCATTCTGGTGATATGTTTACGTAAGGCCGTCCTACGTGCTCGTCCCCATTTTCACTTACCAGTGGTGAGTCTGACATAGTGGAAAAATTGCACATCTTCTTTTGGAAAGTAAGCTTGTGTGAGCGATGCACACAGCAACTTTTAATCGGCATTCCCTGTCGGGAGCGGGTAAAGGGTTGTGCATGTGTGTGATTATGGAGCATTAAAGCACAAAAAATATGAATTGCTCATGTATGTCAATTGTGCTATATGAGAAACAGGAAAACGTTTCCTGTTCCAACCCTGTTGTACCTGTAACGGTACAGGGTTGTGCATGTGTATTTTTTTTATAAAGGGGGCGGGTCTTTTCAAAAATGTGCAAAAATCCTCCACTATACCTTTAAGAGTTCCGATCTAGCAGACGGCATCCTAAAATCCCTTATGCTATCCTCGCTGCCTGGCTAAGTCCTCCCTCTCCTGTGACATGCAGCTCCTTTATCACAAAGTCATTCTAAGACACATGATGCTTTCCACAGTCACATGCAAAGGTTTATTAGCCCTGTTCCCGCCACAATTTTAACTTTGCTTTTTTTCAAGATGGATTTACATTTTCTTCTAATACAGAAACTAAAGACACATTAGAAAAACAAAACAAAACACAGCAGTAGATCAACAAAGGACTGAGTGAGCTTAATGAGATCAAGATCTGTATTTAGTCAATTTGACTAAGTCCAGACCCTAACCAAATCCCTAACTTAGCTGTTAGCAAGCATCTATCTATATCAATAAATGGGTAAGAAACTTCTGAAACATCTGAAAGCTGGAAGTGAGCAGCAGAGCAGATTTTCTCAGACGGATATTAGAGATGTTGGACAGAGACCAGAAGCTCCTCATTCAAGGAATTCCAGCCAGAGGAGGTAGGATTTGTTATTAAATATTTAAAGTTGGGGAAATAAGGTTAATTTTTGGTTCTATATGCTGTTAAATCCATTTTGTATAAAAGGTAAAAAGTGATTTGACTTTGGTACGTGATGATTTCTTAATGGAAAACCAAATGTTTCACTGGAAGTTGCATGAGATAAAGCTATACCTCTGTTCACTTAGCTTCCTGTACTTCTCCTTATCTGCTGCATTCAGCCTGAGCAGCGGCTGCAGAAGGCTTCTGTGTGTCTTTACATTCTGGTTGTCAATGTAGATATCATACAGGTCCTTTTTGTCCTCAAAAATCTTCTCTGTGGTGCCTTAAAAAAAAAAAATAGAAAAGACACACTCAGATATACACATAAAAAGATCCAAAGATGATTTTTTAATGAGACATGTGCTGTGCAGAAACCCACAAGCAACATATGAAAGCTCTGTTTCCAGGGTGCTGATGTCAGCAATGTTGACGTAGAAAAACGGACGCAATTCTGGCACAGATACCCCGATTCCAGGGATAGAGACATTGGCCAGGCAGCAACAGCAATACACTGTAGGAAGAGGAGAGAACATCTCAAAAGGCATTCAGGATAAGAGACCTGTGAATCATTTCTTCAATAGTCCCGCAAAAAAAAAAAAAAGCCTGAGAGTTTGTGTCGAGGTTTAAGATACTCACCCCTGTAGCAGACCACGCCTATGGGTGGTGGAGAGAAGATGAGGAGGCGCTTCCGAAGCAGAACAAACTTCCAGAGAACCATGATCTGATCCCCAAAAAACTGGATAAACTGGGACATACAGCCAGCTGGGTGGGTGATCTGCAGAGGAGGGGTTTAGCACTGTATCACACAGCTAAATGCACAGCTTCCTCACTAATATATTTGGATGCTCTCAGACCTTCATCTCCGGGTGCATGCAGCGGTTTATGGAGGCAACGGTCCAGGTCGGGCACGATGTGACCAAACCGTTTCCTGTCGCGGGAAGAACTGCCTTCTTATCTTCATAAAATGCCTCCAGAGGAGAATACTGGCCTGGACACTGTAGCTGGTGTCTACAAGGCAAACATTATGGGACATATCATCCAGATTTGCATGTTGAACTGGAATGTGCTTTACGGATGACTGGTTTTAATAGTTTTATACTTTTGAATGATGGCTTCCCGTGTTTTGAAAGGCAGAATATCCAACTCAGCTCGGCTGACACATTTAGCATGTAAAATTAGCATTAGAGTTTTTAAAAAGGGGTTTGTGCAGAAGAAGAGCAAAAGTGTGTAGACATGCATGCCTTTGCTCATGAGAAAAAAAGATATACATGTCAGTTTAATTTAGGGAGTGTTGGCCTAGTGGTTAAAGTAGTGCGCTTGTGCTCTGAGAAGGTTGCAAGTACCCGGTTCGATCCCCACAGCCTGCACTTCTGGGTCTCTGAGCAAGACCCTTAACCCCACACTGCTTCCCAGGCACTGCACAATGGCAGCCCACTGCTCCACAAGGCGATTAGTTAAATGCAGACATACATTTCTCCAGTGTGAGATCAATAAAGTTTAGTTATTATTAATTAAATAACTGTTGTATTTGCACAATGTAAAGTTGTTTTTTTCACGTGTTGGTTGCATTTTTATTTTTGCTGATTGAAGCTGAAGTGTTTTTGCACCACATATTCATTCTCAGTTTAGTTGTCTGAGTTTTTACAGCAGTTTTCTTCCATTTTTGTTAAAGTCTTCACATAAAAGATGCATCACAGCTATTTTGTGTTGTTGTTGTTGTTAGGGTTACAGTCCCCTGTTTCCCCTCATACTTCCCATCCCAGATGGTGTGTAGCACACAGGTTTAGTTCTACACATTATTAATCTGGGACTGCTGTTTGGGGAAAGGAAGGAACATTCAGATAGACCTTCTGAGCTGATTTTCTGTTTGCATCGGCTTTCATCTGTTCTGTCTTATGTTTATAATTGGCCATTTCTAAGCTCTTTTGCATCCATTTAAAATCCAGCTTCACTTTGATCCTTTTACAAAATGTATTAAAAAGGTATAATTTCACACCATCTTTTCAGAGATCCACGATTTTTTCTGTATTTATGTTTTTTTGGTGTGCTTTTTTTTTTTTTTTTTTTTGTCTTTAAGAGCCAACACAAAGTATAGTATAAATGCTCAAATTGAAACAAGATTAAAACAGGGATTTCAAAACTTTTTCCAAGTCAAAAGAAAAACCTAACAGAAAAGCGTTGTGTGCATAAGAATAATTCTCCTTTACTCTGATGCCCAAAATAAATGTAAAAAATGGAGTTCAGGATAGAGAATCCTCGGATTTGGTCCAAAGTTTACCTGATTGAGAATCTGTAGCGATGCTTTAAAACTCCTGTTCCCAAACTCTCTGCATCCAATTTGACTCATTAACTCACAGCTGGAACTCCAGGCCAATCTCACAAAATAATGATTTAGGGTTGTTAAATACAAATAAATACCACAAAATCAAGATAAAAATCCAATGAAGTTTGTGTTTCTACCCAACTGCATGCGAAAAAAATATGAAAAGCTGCATATAAATACTTTTGGAAGCCCCTGTATCAATGTTTAGGAGTTTCTTTTTTTTTGTGCCACTTTTGCTTCTTTGTCAATTTATCTAATTTTTCCTCTGTATTTGCATCTTATTATGCATCTCTATTTGTTTTTTGTGCCAGTTTCTTTTTATCTTGCTTTAAAGGCCTGTTATCTTTTTTCTGGAGTAAAACGCATTGATAACTGAATGCATTTCACTCTAAACTGTCAATAATAGTGGAATCCAAGGCCTGTTTTTCAAAAAATAAAATACACTTTTAACAATTGTCTAACAAACTTGCTGCACTATTCAAGTGTCTGCTTGATGGGGCTGGTTTTGAGAGTCAGATAGCTGAACCCCTTTTCGCATTTCTACATAGTGAGAGTCAAGTTTATTGTGGAAGGACTGAAGAAGAAGAGCAGAGGTATAGAAAGGGAGAGAAAAGATGCTGTCAAGGTTTCTTCAAGCTTTGTGTTTAGACCCCTGAAGAAAAACTGCACTTCAAATGGTTTGTGTGACCAAATTAGATACTAACTGAGCCTCTAGCTTCATGTTTAATTGATGAGAACATTTTATACAAAGAGGCTCAAATAAAAGAATAAATCAGGGATAAAAAAGGCTAGAGTGTCCACAAACACACACACTGACAGAGAGCCTCACCTGACTTGGTTCTCCAGGAAGTGCATGTAGCGGTACAGCAGGGTGTAGGAAGGAGACAGGACTCCCACCGACTTCATCCTCGCACCGCGCTCCAGCTGACTCTCCACAGGCATGTTTGCAAAGCACGCCAGCCCAAAGTAACTTCCTTTACGAAAATATCTAAGCAAATCGAAACGAAGGGTAGGGATCAGAACAGAGGCGGTGTGCTGACAGATTCAGCAGGAGCAGACCGGCCGGAAAAGGACCTACATGAAGTCGCTGGTGATCCGATGGGAGCCGCTGGCCATTGACTTAAACTCCACTCCGTCCAGGTTAATGTCATGCGGCAGGCACCATTCCACCATATTCCCTACCAGTCACACAAGCAGAAAATGAAGCCACTTCCCTTTCTTCCTCCACTTTCTTTTCAGACACTTCCTCTGATTCTAGACGTTCCTCATATAGATTGCAGAGTTCAGGAAGTGCAACGAAAAGCTGTCTCTCTTTTTGACTAAACATCTACCAGAAGCATAGGAAGGTCTCAGGTTAATGATTTTATTGCCTGTTTCCTTTAAAACTTTATATCTCTGTTAGATTTTACTTAACATGAAAAAGCTTCTGAATAATCTTTGCATGTAAGTTAGAAGACGACATTACAAAAGACAATCATCAAGCAGATCAGCTGATTTTAGCAAAAGCTAAAGCCAACAAATTAACTTTTCATTGATTTTGAGACATTGAGTTGATGTCAGCTTCATGTGTTTAATCCCTTTAAATAGAATTATCTCAGTGTTTCTACGGAATTTTGCACCATATGCATTTATTTATTTTTGCATTCTCTGAACCTTCCACATCATTGCATTTTGCACCATGTCTTTCCTACACTGTTTAGGTTTTGTTCACTGCTGCACTTTGTAAATGGAAAGGTTCAGTGCTAAGCTGCTCATTCACTGTTAAAAGCTGTGTGCATCGAAATTTTGTTTTGTATACACTCTATGTATACAACATGATTTGTTTCTGAAGACATCCATTGCTGCTATGTGATTAAAAGACTGGCATAATCTCCATGTGTGACCTAATGTATCGATTTGCAACATTCCAATAAATAGTATTCCTTATAAATTCCTTCAGTTTTTGGTGATTTTGTTACTTTTACATGTTTCTAACAGCCATTAATAAGCAAACACAAAAAACTGTTCTTCATTTGTTAAAGGTGAAAACAGGGAAAATAAAACCAAACTTCAAACCTAGTAACTGACTTTTCTTTAAAATCCAAAATGCAATATGAAAGTGAGCCTTAATGCTTTTTTGTTTTACTATAGAGGGGAGCTGGATGTTGGAAATTGTTTTTTTTCAAATACATCCTTGATATATAAAAAAAAATATGGTGTTCATTGAATATTTACTGTTCTGTTGCAACAAAATTTAGAGTTCATTTTTAAACAAGAGCTTGAATTATTATTTTACAAGCTTTGTATGTTTTTGTGTATTTGTATTTTTCAAAAAATATATTTAAGTAGAAGAAATGCAGAATGAGGCCTAACTGGTTAGTTTTTAATGGAAGCCTATTAAAATACCAAGATTTGCTATTACAATTGCCACTACTGACCAACCGATAAAAAGGATGTAATGTCTTTGGATGCAGTTGGAAAGTGATCTGCCAGGCGGGTAAATGAAATTTGCCTTTTAATCTATGCGTAACATTTACAAAAAGAATTCAATAACCAGACTGTTGCATGTCCTTATTAATCAAGTAACATTTTTGCTGCAATCAATACTTTTTTGTCCTTATCTGTCTAAATAATCCAGGTAGATTAATAAAAAAAAAAAGTTGAGTAAATTGAGGACTCATGCTCTTTCATTTTTTTGGATTTCCCCAAAGGAGAAAAATGTAATTAAATAAAGTTGTTCTTTCATTTAACAATATACACCAATATCCTCTAGTATGTTTTATAAAAGTAAATGAATGGAGAAGAGTTGTGTTGCTTTTGTGGCTCTAAAACCGATGGACTGATGTTGGAATAAAGAAAAAAGTCCCGCTGATGTTGTAAAGGTCGTTGACCCCTAATCTAATGGCTTCAACTGTCATCTGTCTGATATTGCAAATACAAAATATTATCTGCTCCTTTTTTAAATGCAAGTAAATTCCTGCAGATGTTAGATTACTAGGCAGAGACCATATGAGTGAGATATAAATGATCAGCCCATCCCATGTAGAATAACCTCAGCAGCATCATCTGATCATTGTTATTTTACTGACTCACCTGATCTCGTGCCAAAAGTCACCACAAACACAGCCAGGATCTGGTCCTTTTCCTCCCACTGATCCCTCCCTGACAGACCGGGGAACGAGAAACCACCACCCGGACCGAGGAGCTCTGGGCGATCGAAGCCGCACCCGGGGCGCTTCTCCCGGCTCACAACAACAGCTGTTATGTTTCGTGTGGGGCTGTAGGTGACGGCGGTAGGGACGCCGCAGCTCCGCCCCGTACCGGACGCGGTGATCGTCGGTGTTCGCCTGCCGCTCGGCTGCGAACTTTTCCCCGCATCGTCGGTGCCGTTCTCCCGCTGCGGCTCAGGCGGTGGCTGGGCCGCTTGATTGGCGTCGGGCGGTGGGATCTCCTCCCAGTCCAGCAGCGGGGCTCGGTCCGATTGCTCCACCATGGTGAAGACGGTGAGCAGAGGCGACAGGAAGGTACGGCGGTGCGGCTGCTTGGAGCGGGTTCAGACACTCTGCTGGATCCGGATCATGGTGTCCTGCAGCTGCCTGGCTCCGGCTTGTTTTTGGTGGATCTGTAAGCGTGTCACATCCACGGAGAGACAGCTTTTACTGTTGTGATGACGTAGCTGACTTCCGCCCACGTGACTACATTAGTATTTCATAGCATGACCTCATTTTTGTTTATTTAGCAGAATAAACCCATGAAAACGCAATTTGTTAAAGTTTCTGTGTCATAAATTAATAAATTATTTAATAAATTATTGAAAACGGTATAAATAAGTTGGGAAATCTTATTGTTAATTAATTTATTATATATATGTTTTTTTCTACTGAATTCATCCTCCTTCCACATTGTTTTTTTTTTCGATTTGACTGCCTCATTTAAAAAGAAATATTAATAATATTTTTTTTAAAACTCTCTGGGTTGATAAAAATTATTATGAATCCAACTAAGCCAAGGGTATGAATATTTATGTATCAAAAGTGAATGAGTGAGTGACAAAGAAAATAAGATAATCATTGAAAAAAGAGAAAATTATGTTAAAAATTATTACATATATAAAATCTAACAGTATCTATCCCTCATTTAGGAAAAAAAATAATAAAAAATCTATTTTTTATTTCATGGAAAGCCGTAAAAAATTAAGTTAAAGCAACAACCAATCAGAGCGCTAGATGCCTTGACCCCCCTCCTCCCCCTTGTGCGTTAATTTAATTAAACAGGAAGTATTTTACATACGTGGCGCGAAATCAGAGCGTGTTTGAGGTGGTAGTGCACAGGTGGTGGTGTTTGTAAGTGCATATGGCTTTCTAGTCACTACAAATGTTTTATTATAGCTTAGTGTAACTATATGTTTGTCAGAAATGTCATATTTTAGTTGGTCATGTTTTTAAACTTCAGCTTATGTATTAATCAGTGATTGAAACCATGATGGAGGGTTGAAGGAGCTTGGAATAGGCCTGTATTTAAGTTATGTTTACATTTTTAATTGGAGCAGTATCATGATTGTAAAATTTTGCCAAAAAATATGTATTTGTTCCAAGATCCTTAATCCAGCATGAAGAGAACCTTCCTAGAGCCTCAGGTTAAAGGCATGGCGACACTGTTTAATGAAATCAGCCAAGATTTTTCCAGCTGCGGTGAGGAGGGAAACAGCAGTGACACCACCTCAGATGACTCCACAGCCCTCCACAGTCCCACCCTGCTCTGCAGGACCCCTCGAGTTCAGCGGCATCGCAGCAGAAGCACCTCATCCTTTTCGCCTTTCCAGAGCAAAAGCCCCATACCTTTTGCTTCTTGGAGTAAGCTCAGGCTGTGTGACACTCCCAGCACACCCAAGGTTAAAGAAAAACATCCTGGAGGGAACATCCTTTTTATGACTCCTTCTGATCACTCTGATTATTTTGTTTTTTCTTTTTCTTGCAGAGTTTACTGTCAAAGGCATCCCAGCCTTTCTCCAGCATAAAGATAGGTCGCCATCAGAGGTGCCTACGTTTCACCTCCGATTCTGCAAAACTTATCCACGCTCCTTCAGTCAATGTTAATCCTTTCACTCCAGAAACGGTCCGCAGGAAAAGTGAGCTGCAATGGAGGAGTGATGAGGATGATTCCCATGATTACAGGCAAAGGTATCTTAACTCTGTTTTATTTGTATAGCATCTTTGATTATGAGGGGATTCTGCAATACTATACCTGGCAGACTGAAGTCAAACAGAACTAAAAGAGAAACAGGACTGTTTTAGAGGTAGTTTAGTTCCATGGTTTACTGACATTCTTTCACAATCTCTGGACTTGTAAGTGGGTCATAACTTCTTTTAAGACACATTTTCCATATATTCAGAAATAAAAGTTAAACCATTGTAGGCCTGAAAAAATTAATCATATTGTGATTAATTGATTATTGAAAAAATGGTCAGCTAATTTAGAAATCAATTAATTGTTAACCGGAGGACGGAGACTGTGAAATGTGCCTTTAGTTCACTGAGTGACCCGCTTAGAGCAGTAACTATATCAAGAATTGTTAAAAACATTTATATATAACATTATGCAATTAAGATTAAAAAAAAAAGATTTTCAGCTGTCAATGTGCTCTTTTCAGAAAATTTTTAGAGTTCACCTGGTTTAATTCTTTTAAGTCTTCTTTAAAGAATCTTCTGCTTTCTGGTTATTAATTGATAAATGGAAATAATAAGCAACAGATTAATCCATTTGTAAAATAATGTTTAGTTGAAGCAGTAAACTATTGTCTGAAACATCTGGATAGTGCAAGAGCCGTATTGTTCTGTGGGTGTAAGGGTTAGATTGGCAAACATATTTATTTTATTAGAACAATGTCTTGATGCCTAGGAAAATGTTCCAATAACATAAATCTGCTTGAAAAACTGATCAAATGAGGTTAGAATAAAACTTTTCCCACATGATCAAAATGGTTTTTCTCTTCTCTTACAGGCTGGTCTCTTTTCTGAGTGTTTAAAAAGGTTTAATATCTTCTTTCCATTTGTCAGGTTGAAACACAGCCTCACATCATCTGAAGAGGATGACGAAGCCTTTCTCCCACCAAAGGTACAACTATTTTTATAAATGCTTACGTTTGATTGTATTTCAGCCTATCAGACCCCTGTGATAACATTTCCTCATCCGGCTCAGTCATCCTCAGCTGCCGCCTCCTCTTGTTTTGTCCAAAATGACACGCTGCCAGTTCTGTTTCCGGGATTTTCTCTGAGGAGTCTCTGGATGAGGAAAATAAAAACTAAAGGCTGTCAGACACTTTTCCTTTTTTTTTTTTTTTTAGGGTGGAAGTGGCACCATATTTGGAGAGATATGAGAGAATCCAGGACGTCTTTCCATGACTCAATGCTCCTTTTATAGAGGTGTTTTTGATTTTTCTGGTTTGATTGTGGCCTTCTGCAGAGACGTGCAGTCCAAGCCTTCATGCTGTCGCGCTATGAGAGCGAGTTCCTGGAGCTGGAGTGCATCGGTGTGGGAGAGTTTGGGGCAGTTTATAAGTGCGTTAATCGACTGGATGGGTGCCTGTACGCCATAAAACGCTCCAGACGTCCCCTGGCTGGCTCTTCCAATGAGTGAGTCTGGGTTTTGGTCATCTCATCCAAACCTGAGCCACTTTAATTTATGCAAATCTTATTTTTCATCCCATTTTTCTACACAGGCAGCTGGCTTTAAAGGAGGTGTATGCACATGCGGTTCTTGGACACCACCCACATGTTGTTCGCTATTATTCTGCCTGGGCAGAGGATGACCACATGCTGATTCAGAATGAGTACTGTGATGGTATGTTTCACAGTTGCATCCTGAAGAAACTAATCCAATAAATAAAATAAGCTTATTTTTAAGTTGTGAGGTCAGAAAAATGTAGGCAGTATTAATTATAAAAAATAAATAAATAAAATACATTAACTTCTCTATATAGCTTTTTGAAGATGCTCATTTCCTTTTCCAAAAATAGTGTTTTGGCCACGCTGCTAAAAGAATCAATACTGGTTTAATCACTGTGATGACACCAGAAAACTGCTCTGATCCTTAATCTCACACTCTTATTGAAGGGGTAGATGATGAAACTGAACCAAAATAATTTAAGCAGGCTGGTGGGATTATAAGTAAGATAATTAGATAAGTCAACTGGGTTGCTTATTTTCTTGAAGTCTAAATCATCTTTGGAAAATGTTCTTCCTTACCTACTCAAATCAAGGGAAAATACACTTGTTTAAAAAAAGCTAATATTATAGTTTTTGCGATGTGTAGAGCTGAAGTTCTACTATTATGCTGGTTAAGATCAGTCTTCCAGGTCATGGGCGTTCCAAAAAGTAAAAAAAAAATAAACCACTGGACTTTGTTTTACGAGTTTGAACCATAAAGGAAGCTTTTTCCTGTCTGGATTAGCGTTGAGTTCCAAGCTTTATAGAGTAGCCCAACAAAAGCCTTGTTATGGCTTAGAAAACATGCAAGTTGAACCAAAAGAACAGGTCCGCACTAAGGAGGAGTCATTGAGGTCATTTTTGGCCTGCAATACCCAATACTGGCCTATGCCTCTGAAAAAGGGTCATTGTTGGCCTGGCTGACCAGGTGAGATGTTTTGGTCCCCTGCATAGTGATGGGGTTATAGCGGGAAGGAATCAACTCATTGGGCTACTCTATAAAGCCTGGAACTCAACGCTAATCCAGACATTTTGAATTGAAAAAGCTTCCTGGTGTTAGTTTTTTTTTTTTTTTTAAACTTCTTTGAAAGTTCTACTATTAAAGCAACCAGGGCTTCCTGAACACCTCGGCAAAGCCACAGGCTGATCTCTACTAGGGGTGTAAATCACATCCATCATGGCGATTCGATTCCGTATCAATTTCCTGACCCAACGATTTGATTATTTTCAATACTCAAGAACGCACTACGATTCAATTTTTGGTCATTTATTTTTTTCTACCTTACAGGCTAGATAATGATTCAAATTTGAAATAATCCACGAAAGCTGTAATATCGTTATGCATTTTATTTGAGAAACTACAAATGAGAGAAATACTTCCACACAATTGATTGAACCCGCAAGGGGTGTGTAAGTCGTCCCTTTTTTTTTTTTTTTTTTTTCTCTGCCATGTCTGTCTTGCCTTCTCTTTATGCAAGTGTGTGTGTGCAAGCAGAAGAAGGTAGTGGCTAAAGGAAGTGAGGTAGGAGGGCAAAATAGATTTAGTGCCACTGCAGCATGGAGCAAATTAAACTTTAAAAAAAACCTGCATCGATACTCTTGCGGACGTGTCGATGAATCGGATCGTTGGCTGTTGGATCAATGCATCGATACAAAACGATTAATTTACACCCCTAATCTTTACGACATACAGTAATTCATGCAACAGGAGCCCAGAATAGGTACTGAAGTCGCATGCTGTACTGAATCTGGAGATTCTGTTAATTAGGTCCAAATCTAGCTACTACCAATCCGTGTATTGGTCAGGTTTTAGTTCTGTAACCTTCTGAGAAACATTTTAGGTTTTAATAGGCTACATCTAAAACAGAGAAATGAACATTGTTGGAAATCTATATTAAATATTTTTCACTTTGCATTGAGTCACTGTAACATTTCTGTGATGCTCTGACTTGATGCCCCCACCTCCCCAGGTGGAAGCCTGGGGG